GGATTTTTATTATTGTTATTTTGTTTTTAAATCCATTTTTTCATATATGTGTGAAATGAGCCCATCATAAAAACATTTGACTGACTAAATGAAATTATAACTCACAGCAAAGCTGAACAAAGTATGCTAGAGGTCACCTGAATGTAGATTTATAGCCAGTGCAAAATGTACATATACCAAGCGTTATTATATGGCTGAGGGTCATGAGAGGTTTTGTTCTACAAATATTGATGATCTATGGCCGCTTCTGGTAAAAGCTATTTTACTTCATTTGTGGATGACGCTATTTCTGTGTTGCAGATTTTACGATAAAAAGTACCAAGTATTTCTGAAGTTATATGAACACCAGCTGGAATATCGGGCTATTATGAAAGGAATCTAATAAGACTGCTCCCCTCTGCACATTGGCTGGAATGCCAGACAGAAAGGCTGCTTAACAGAACTGAGTGTATCAAATAAAAGATTAAAGACATGAAGTTTGTGTGAGCTTATGTTAAGATCTCAGTGAGAAATTACGTGCCAAGTCTATCGTGGTGGATACAGAGTCATGAAAGAGTTAAAGATATCTCAACATGCTGTTTTTATACTAATTAGATTGTGGTAATAGCTACTCATTGTAGTAGGGTTCTATTCAAAAAAGTGGCATAAAGAAATAGGGGGTTGTGCATCCTTTTAAACTGTATTTACCACATACACTGCCCCAACATACCTTTACTGACCGCCACATACACTGCCGCCCTTCCCCACACTGACCACCACATACACTGCCCCACATGCCTTCCCCACTCACTGACCACCACATACACTGCCCCATACCTTCCCCCACACTGACCACCACATACACTGCCCCCGCATACCCTGCTTACACTGACCACCACGCCCGCTTTTACATACTCTGCCCCCACACTGACCACCACATACACTGCCCCCACACTGACCAACACATATACTGACCACCACATACCCCTTCCCCCACCCTGCCCCCACATACCCTGCCCCCCACACTGACCACCACATATACTGACCACCACATACCCTTCCCCCACACTGACCCCACATACCCTGCCTTCCACACTGACCACCACATACCCTGTCCCCACTCTGAGCACCACAAACACTGCCCCCCACATTAATCACCACACTGACGACCACATACACTGCCCCACACCTAATCACCAACTACACTGCCCCCATACACCCTGCCCCCACACTGAAGCCACCACATATACTGACCGCCATATACCTTCCCCCACTGCCCCCTCATACCCTGCCTTCCACACTGACCACCACATACCCTGTCCCCACTCTGAGCACCACAGACACTGCCCCCCACATTAATCACCACACTGACCACCACATACACTGCCCCCCACACTGACCACCAAATACCCTGCCCCACACACTGACCACCACATACCCTGCCCCACACTGACCACCACATACCCTGCCCTCACACTGTATCCCACACACTCTGCCTTCTCAACTGATTCTCTCACTGTCATACACACTGCCACCCCACACTGACTCCCATACACCCAGTCCCCCACTCTGACTCCCACACACTCTATCCCAAACATTGCCCCCCTACACTGTCTCCCACACACTTTGCCCCAAACAGTTTCTCACACAAAATGCCCCCAATGTCTGTCACACACACTACCCCCCACTGTCACACATTCTGCTCCCCCACAATGTCTCCCACACACTCTGCTGCCCACACCTTCACACACCTTGCCCCCTCATGCTGTCACACACCCTGCCCCCTCTACACTGTCTCCCACACACTCTGCCCTCTCTCACTGTAACACACCCTGTCCCGCCATACTGTCACACACTGCCCCCTACACTGTCACCTTCCTCCACACTCCCTCCCACACTGTCACCTTCCTCCACACTGCCACCCCACACTGTCATCTTCCTCTTCACTGTCACCCACCCACACCCTGCCCCCCCAACTGTCACATTCCTCCACACTGCTCCCTCACCCTGTTACCCTTTCACACACTTGCACTCCATATTGTCAGTCCCCAACACTCTGTCACCAATACATACCGCCAGCCCTTCCACACACTGCCCCTGCACACTCTGTTACACTTCCCAATACTGCCTCCCACACTCTCACCTACCCACTGTCACAATTCCACACACATACAGTCACCCTCCAACACACACACTGTCACCCCCCAGATGCTGTCATGCCCCCTTCACCCAGCCTCACTCACATTAACCTCTCCTAATCTTGTCGCTCTCACCACCTCCATCCATACCACAATTACCTGCCCTCACTCTTCCACACTCACCTTATCTCATTAATCCCCCTAATCCTATCACACTCATCTTCTCTCATACTGTCACACTCACCCCCAACTCTGTCACACTTATCCTCTTTCACATTAACCCTTTCAGTCCTGCCACTTATCCTGCCCAACCATGCCACACTTACCCTGTCACATAATCCTATCAGGCTCACCTTCCCTTGTCACACTCCTTCCTCCAGCCATGCAACACATAACCCCAACCCTGTCAAGCTCATCCACCTTCACCCTACCACACTCATCCTATCACATTAACTTCTCCGATCCTGTCACTCATCCTGCCCAGCCATGCCACACTCACCCTGTCACATAACCCTCCCTCATCCTATCACTCTCACCTCCCCTCGTCCTTTCACACTCCCTACTCCAACCGTGCCACACTCACCCCAACAGTGAATAGAGAGACTAGCTCTCTGTATCCAGTGCTGCAAGCCTGCCCTTTAATATAACTACAACTCATTATACACACGATGCAACCCATATATGTTTTTTTACTATACGTGTTAGTGGGGGCCTCTTGTTTGAGTTACGCCTAAGGTCTCATAAAGTCATTTAACTTGTAAACTTCCATGCTTGCTGAGCTGGATTCCCCAGGGCTTTGTTACCCTGAGGAGATCCTGGAGAACACACAACACATTACCCAACATGCCCACAGGAGGAGAGGTAGGGGTAAGGGTAGACAGTGTGTGCCTTCTGGAAACAGGACAGGCAGGGCAAAGCAGGCCTCTCTAGAAACAGGACAGGCAGGGTAGAGCAAGCCTCTCTGGAGACAGGACAGGGCAGATTTGTAACAGGTCCAATCAGCAGTCTGGAAGCTCCCCAGATCTTGGGGCTTAAGGCTTCCAGCGAGGTCTGGATTGAATAGTACCGGTAGCAGAGGGTTGGGGTTAGTGGTCAGCTGGAGTGAGAAGCGAACGGTGCATCAGATCTTGATGGTTGCATCTATCAGCGGGTTGTTGGTTTTCATCTGCGCAGTCGTTATCTCCCCCAGCCAAAGATGGGATGGAAGTCAATCTCCAGTCTGCTCTATCTCAAGGTCCACCCATAGTTTCTCTGTTGGGCATGCGTGCCAATCGACTAGCCTGTTTATGTGTGATAAATGGTGGTAGACCGCGGGTAGACCCACTCCACCTGCTGCCTCTGCCGTACCTGGGTATTTCCCCTTTTCCAGATGAACCTCTGGATCATCGTCAACAATGACTGAAAGAAGGCTCGTGGAAGAACCACTAGTATAGTGTTGATCCTTTTTTTTTAATTTATTTACTTATTTAAAGGGGCACTATAGGCACCCAGACCTGGTGTGGTCTGGGTGCACTGTTCCTTTTGCACTTAGTGCTGCAACGTAAAACACTGCAAGCCCACTAGAGGGCTTCCTGGATCGAAACAGTATCGATTGGTCCAGTATCTGGTGGATTCGGTACCACATTAGTGTAAGCCAGATAACCTGTCCAGGCTTAGCCAATGTCCACGTGTGGGAAGTTCATGGTGGATGCAGGGGAATCACTGGATTTTGCCCAGTTGCGGATCCTTCTTGTGTCGTTCTTCTGCTCGCGGCTGTTGTCGTTAGGTGTAGGGCTTAGATCAGCAGTGGCGGCTCGGTGGGGGCGAGGTAAGTCCACCCTCCAGCCCCAGACCAGCATGAAGGCCCACATCTTCCTTCCATGGACCCGGTGTTCACGAGAGGCCGGGTCCCTCTCCTTGTGGGAGTGGCCGGGGATCCCGTTGGTTAGCCGCTGGCTGCAGCGGCGGGCCTTCCGTCCGCGTGGGCGATGTCTCAGGGTCGCGCCCACAGTTGCCTTCGGCCTAAGTAGGCCTGTAGTAGGAGAGACGGGTAGTTGTGGTGCAGCGTTGCCCAAGGGGGTTCTCCCTCGCCTCCCGGCTCTCTCCTCTCTGATCTACCACCCTTGGTCGTACTGGTGAGATTATGCAGCGTTTCAGCAGAGCTTCCAGAGTCGCTGGAAGTGCCTGTCTATCCGCTGCATGAGGTGATCCGCTGTGTTAGAGATCCGTGCAGATTGCTCGTTTACAGTCTCTTTAGGCCAGGGCGCCATTGCCATTTTGTTGAGGTCAACTAGGTCCCGGTTCCGCTCAGTAGTTGGGTGCTCTGGTATTCGATTAGAGTAGTCCTGTGTGGACTGAGATAACCCCCACCGGTGTGGGGGGGAGGGGAGGAGGGTGATGTGCTTGGGTCTCAGCGCAGCTCATTAGATAACTAAAAGGGAAAATATATATATATTTATTTGTTGATATACATATGCCAGGCAGTAGATGATGTAAACGTCTTTAACCCCCATTCCAAGTATTAGAGCCCATGCTCATGTATAACACTATGGGAGAAATGTATGAACATGCATGTGGTTGTACAACACTTTCCAAGCAAATACCTGAGTGGAGACCTACTGGAGTATGCTAAACAGTTCAATAGACACTTTGATCCCATCTGGAGTATTATGGATCAATGACGTTGCCATAGAGGTTAGAATGTCTTATAACCACCATCACTGCATTCATCATCCCGTGCAGTATCATTTACTATAATTAAGAGAAGCGATATTCTTCTTTAAAGGGTTCATTCTTCTATTAGGAAGTTGAGAAATTAAAAGGATACTCCAACGAAAAAAAAACGTTTTGTTTTTAATAAAACAATGAGTAACCCTTTAGAGCAAGCTTCCCCAAACTCCGGCCCTCCAGATGTTGCTGAACTGCAACTCCCATGATTCTCAGCAATATATATTTAATTCATAGAATCATGGGAGTTGCAGTTCAGCAACATCTGGAGGGCCAGAGTTTGAGGAAGCCTGCTTTAGAGTAACCATTACTAGCCTCCCGACTCCCCCAAATTTTTTTTAAAAAGTGAATAAGTTAATATGGTGGGATTCAACAATACATCAGGTGGGGTTCAGTCATTAATAAAGTGGGATTCAGTCATTAACATGATGGGGTTCAGTCATGAATTAATACATCAGGTGGGGTTCAATCATTAATATGGTGGGATTCAATAATACATCAGGTGGGGTTCAGTCATTAATACGGTGGGGTTCAATCATTAATATGATGTGGTTCAGTTATTAATTAATACATCAGGTGGGGTTCAATCATTAATATGGTGGGGTTCAGTCATTAATAATGTGGGGGTCAGTCATTAATTAATACATCAGATGGGATTCAGTCATTAATAAGGTGGGGTTCAATCATAAATAAGGTGGAATTCAGTCATTAATAAGTTGGGGTTCAGTCATTAATTAATACATCAGGTGGGGTTCAGTCATTAATAAGGTGTGGTTCAATCATTAATTAATACATCAGGTAGGGTTAAGTCGTTAATAAGGTGGGGTTCAATCAATAATAAGGTGGGGTTCAATCAATCATTCATATGATGGGGTTTAGTCATTAATATGGTGGGGTTCAGTCATTAATAAGTTGTGTTTCAGTCATTAATAAGGTGGGGTTCAATCATGAATTAATACATCAAGTAGGGTTCAGTCATTAATAAGGTGCGGTTCAATCAATCATTAATATGATGAGGTTCAGTCATTAATATGGTGTGCTTCAGTCATTAATATGATTGGGTTCAGTCCTTAATAAGGTGGGGTTCAGTCCTTAATAAGGTGGGGTTCAATCATTAATAAGGTGGGGTTCACTCATTAATATGATGTGGTTCAGTAATTTTGCTGCATGATGTTGTTGTATTTTATGGCACATTACATTTGCAATATGACAAATTCTATTGAAATACAATCCCCATTTGTTTCAGAGTTACAGAGAAGTAGAGAAGTTGGCAGCTTTTCAACCTCCTCCCTGCAGCTTGTGTTGCCCTTTTAAATTGCAATGTCACTCTACGTGCAAAGTGCAGGTGTCCTTCTCGCATTGTAGGGGACACAGGATTTCCATCTGCTGGATCCTATGGGAAAGTTAGCTTTACAAATGAATATTAATCAAATATCACACGCCATTTCCCAGGATGTGATAAAGTGACAGTGAGACATTGTAGCTTTATAAACTTCTCACCCTCCGAAAGGCGTGTGAACACGAGATCAACATTTCTCCCTGCAGTTGGATGTTTTTAGCATAATCCGGAGCATTTTATTATTGCAGTCATTTTTACATCTGCTGTTGATTAACCTTTAAAATACTAACCATATGTGACCATTGCAGTTTAGTATACAGTTATATTTACATATAATGCAGACAGACAGACAGACAGATAGCATTATATGTATATGAATATACAAATATACACAGACATACAACATACAAGATCCAGCGCGCTCCTAACTCACTTAACACTAACCTGAAAGCTCACAAACTGTGAGATTTTATTTTTTTTAACACCTGCACTAGGCAAAAATAATGGGGTTTAGTTTAGTTACAGTATATGATCATACTTTGCATAAGCCTGCCAGAAACACCAATGTACCCCATTCTTGGCAGTCCTATCCTAACAGCCTAATGTCTGCTCTTATTAGATGAACACGCATAAATTATATAATTATTAATATAACATACAAGATCCAGCGCAGTCACTTACTAAACACCGACCTCACAGCTCGCAAAATGCAATAGTTTTATTTAAAACCACCTGACTAGGCAAAAATAATGGGGGTTTAGTTACATTATATGATTATATATTGCATAAGCCTGTCACAACGTCAATGTACCCCATTCTTGGCAGGTCCTACTCTAGCAACCTAATTCCTGTTCTTATGAGATTAATCCATTTACTTGGGAACTACTTCTTCCTGGGACTCTCTGCAGGTCAATGCTACATAGGTCCCTGGAATGAGGCCCCTGTGACAAGGAGAGGTGCAAACCAGGGAGTTGGCCTGGACTCCCAAATAAATGTATATTATATATCAGTTTCTGCAGCATTTTACAGTTATACAATGGGGATATTTAAAGGACCACTATAGGCACCCAGACCACTTCAGCTTAATGAGGTGGTCTGGGTGCCTGGTCCAGCTAGGTTTAACCCTTTTTTCTATAAACGTAGCAGTTTCAGAGAATCAACATGTGCATTCAGCCGAAGAGGAGGAGAGGAGGCGGAGAGAAGGGGGAGAGCTCCCCGCCCGGCGCTGGAGAAAGAGGTAAGTTTAACCCCTTCCTCCCCCCAGAGCCCGGGGGAGGGGGACCCTGAGGGTGGGGGCACCCTCAGGGCACTATAGTGCCAGGAAAACTAGTATGTTTTCCTGGCACTATAGTGGTCCTTTAACAGCAAGTAATTGACATACACAAATAATAATTCTGACAGACACAATAGGTGAAGAATACACTGCTCAAATGAGTGGACAATCTAGGAGAATGTATTATTTACCAATGAAGAGGGATAACTTAACCCCTTAAGGACACATGACATGTGTGACATGTCATGATTCCCTTTTATTTCAGAAGTTTGGTCCTTAAGGGGTTAAAGGGCTAGAGCTAGGAGGTGGATGGCTTATTAAGCATAGGAAAAAAAACAATGGGAAGAATAACATGGCCATTGGACACGATAATAGCAGGAGACAGTCAAAGGGTAAAGGGAGAGGGTGAAAAAATATTGGGAGTGAAAAAAAAGGAGAAATAAGAAAACAATCTGTGTTTGCAGAAGCCAGGTACTGTAGGAGTGAGGGTAGGAGTTATGTTTGAGAGAGGAGCCAAGAGATCATTTGCTTGGAACATTTTATGAGTCAATCCCAATCACAGCAGGTTTAATGCCACCCACTATTCTTTACTAAAGAGGTCCTAGCTGCTGAGTCAGCAACCTGAAATCACTCTGTTGCTGCAGCAGAGAATGTCACCAAAAACACTACTCGTGTAACAGGAACATGAATAAATCCTTGAAAGACTGCAAGAAACTAAATGTATTCTATTATCATCATCATCATATATGTAGCACCAACACATTCAATGGGGATATTTCACAAGTGATTGACATACAGAAAATGAACAGAGACAGGAGGTGCAGAAGGTCTTGTTCAGTCGAGTTGTGGGTTCCGTGACCCTTTTAGTCTACAATTCTATTTTAGAAATGAAAAATAAAAAAGAATACCCAAAGAGAACATCTGTGGTTGGGACATTAAAGGGACACTAAAGGCACCCAGACCACTTAATCTCTGGCAGCACTGTTTACATTGTAGGCTTAAGACGACCTGTAGTAACAGTCTTACAGATAGCCACTAGAGGTGATTCCTGCTTTCTCACATAGTTCAGCTCCGTGAAGACATGCCCAGCATCTTTAAAACCCCTGTAGGAAAGCATTATGTAATTGATTTCATAGGAGAAAGGTCTAATCCGTGTGTTCCCACATTGGCATGATGTCACTGGAGGAGGAGACTGAACCAGCACTGAGAAATCTTGTTGCTGGGAAAAGGCAAGTGAAAAAAAGGTTTTTAATGCTTTAATCAAGGGGGGAGGGGTGTAGGGGCAGAGGGACATGACTGCAGACCCATTAACCCATCCGTTGTCCAATAAACACACAACACCTGTATAATGGATAAGGGCAACGGCCACAGCTTTATTTAACATTTTTGCCAGCATTAATACCAACTGTCAGCTGATGGGGTGATTCAACCATCAGACAGATCTCACATCCTGTCTTCCGCCTTCAGCCCAAGCAGACTGCGACTCCCCAATCCGACTTGGCAGTTGCCTTCCCCTGCGCTGGCCAGGTATTCCGCCACCGCGATGCCGGCCTCCAACGCCCTCCTCCGGCATCGCGCCCCCCGCCGCCAGCGCCTTTTCAATCCCGCTTTGCAGCCCCACATTGAAGATATCCAGACCAATTACGCTCCATCTGACCGCATCAACTTGCTGTTATCCCCTTCTAACTCCACGTGCCGGACCACGAACCCCCCAAGCCGACGCACAAACCTCGACACTGTCATATTCAGCTTGTGCCTGCTGCGCTCCAGCCCTTTTGCATAAGGCAACCGCTGCCAACAGGGCCTAGGAATCACCTCCGATCACACCAACGTGACATCCCGAAACAGTGCCATGCAACGAGCGATCTCATCCTTCATGCAGTGAATTAGATCCACTGTCCGGACCCTGCTCAGGTCATTCCCCCCTGCATGAATGATCAATATAACCGAACTGGGAACAAACCTGCTCAGGAAACGGCACTCTGGGTACACCCCTCCATCGAACCCGCACTTGGTCATAGGAAAATCCCAGGTTACGACCATAGGGGCGCTCCTCCGCCCTCCTCGCTGCCCAATAGATGTAGGAATGCCCTAATATCCATACGTAGCGTGGAAGTGAACCTAGAATGAACAAACAGAAAACTGAACGGGAAGAAACTGCTACTCACCTCGAGCCTGAAACCCTACAATAGGTGTGGCCGTACATACAACTGAAACCTCCCAGAACTCCACCGACCCAACCTCTGCACCGCTGCCGGTGCAAATCCCATCCCACTAGCCTGCGTGGCTGCCCCAATCCGAAAGGAATGGGCCGAGTACCCTAGCGGGCTCCTGCCGCTCGCCACCAGGGATTCACACAAGATCTTCCCAAATTGATATCGCGTCATCGGCGATCCGTCCCGATGCACCAGCAGAGAACCCCCGGCCGCAGGGCGGACCTCCAAGAATCTCCGAAACAGGTGCACCGGGCAAAATCCCCCCCCCCACCGCATCAATACGTACCCACACACCTTCCCCTCTTTGATCCGTCTTGGACTTACGGATCCTAATGTCTAGACCCCTGGCCGACCACCGCAAGTCCGACAACCCCAGCTGTGGCTCAGCCCGACGGATCGCGGCGACCACCTCCCCGACCCACAATGCCCAAAGAAGCACAACAAAAAAGCAACCCCGAACAACAATGCTTCATACTCTGAACTACACACCTGCCGCAACGCCGCCAGAATCTCCCACAGAAGCTGCACTGAAATAAGCCTCCTCCGATCTGGGACCCTCCTCCGTCGTCACCCACGCAGGGCTGTCTGAATGCTAAATTCCCTGGTAATGTCCCTCCAACCCAGGAACCTAAACAAGAAAGACAAGGCCGACAGGGCATTCTCTGCTGCGGCACATGACCACCCTTCCTCCAACAATTGCTCCAAAAACAGTAAGGTTACCTCAAAGCGCCCCGAGTCCGACGCCAGGCTACTCTCCCCCGACACCAAGCTGAGCCACTTAGACCACACTGCCCGGTGTGACTTCCACGAGGATGCCGACAACGACTCCATCACCAGCCCCATCAATCTTCGGAACCGAGCTCCCATAAAGACTGTGGGCAAGGCTGCCCCACCGGTGCCGCCTCTCGGAAACGCTGCCACTGGAACCGAGAAAGCGCATCAGCCATGACATTCAACACTCCCGGCACATGACATGCCCTAACCCACACATTATGATGCAAACTCAACAGGACCAAGCGCCGCAGCAACGCCAGAACCAGCGGCGATGCCGACATCGCACGATTAATCACATGGACAACACTCATGTTGTCCGTGTGAAAATCAACCGTTCGGTCCCGCAAATCATGTCCCCACAACTCCATAGCCACTACAATCGGGAAGAGCTCCAAGAAGGTCAGGTTGCGCATGAGATCCTTACCTTGCCAACTCTCTGGCCAGGCCTCTGCACACCACCGGCCCCGGAAGTATGCTCCGAAGCCGAAAGAGCCGGACGCATCTGTGAAGAGTTCCAACACCGAGTTACCAACCGCCGCTCGGACCCAACATGACCGGCCGTTGTACCTCTCCAAGAAGGAACTCCACACTTGTAAGTCCGCTTTCAGCTTTCTCGTAACCCGTATAAAATGATATGGCTCCTGAATCCCCACCGTCGCCAAGGAGAGCCGGCGACAAAAAGCCCGTCCCATCGGCAAAACCCGACACGCGAATGCCAGGTGACCCAGCAGCACCTGCATCTGCCTCAACTGCACCTTGTTCGCCCCTTTGACTAGGTCGACCCATCGAAACAGCACCGCGACCTTGTCATCCGGCAACCGAAAGATCATGTTGGCGGAATCAATTTCCACTCCAAGGAAGGACAGCATCTCCACTGGGCCCTCCGTCTTCCGTTCTGTGACTGGCACGCCAAAATGCGCCGACACTTCCCGAAAAACACGCAGCAGGTCCCCGCATACCCCGGTCCCCGTTTGCCCACAAACAAAAAGTCGTCTAAATAATGGGTCACTGACCGGTAACCCGAAACCTGAATGACTATCCATTCCAGAAACGAGGCAAAGGACTCGAAATAGGACCAGGAAATAGCACACCCCATCGGAAGACACATGTCATAGTAACTACCATCAAAGTGGCAACCGAGGAGGTGATGACACTCCGGGTGGACTGGTAACAAGCGGAAAGCCGATTCAATGTCGGACTTCGCCAACCAGGATCCCACCCCGGCGTCCCTGACCAATTCCAAAGCCCTGTCAAACGATACATACCGTCGTTAACAGACTCACCTGCTGGATAGGATAGATGATGAATCATGCGATAAGCCTCCTCCTCCTTCTTGGGGACCAAACCCAACAACGACACTCGCAGATTCTCAAACGGCGAGCGGTCAAACGGCCCCGCCATCCTCCCCAAACGTACCTCTTTGTCCAGTTTTTCCTGTAATATCCCTTCCCTACCCTGAACCGAGCGCAAGTTGTTAGCAAAACGTGGCTCCGCCGAGGGGACAAAAGGAATCCAAAACCCTGACGAAAACCCATCCACCAACAGCAACGCATCCCGCCGCTTAGGATACCAAGCGAGCCACGGCACCATCCTTCCCCCGTTCACCGGGGTCCAGCCCTTTTGGGGCAGCGTCTGCAGCCCCACCTTTGGAAGGCACCTGTTTTCCTTTTTTGAAACAGCGAGCCACAGGATGCGCTCCTCCACAGTGAGAGCACTCGTGTCGAAAGCGGCAGGAACTATACCACCTGCAATGGCTCTCATTGAAGAGCCAACAAACCCCCCGCTTGGGTCCAGCCTGCGACCCTGCCTGGCCGCCGGCTGCACCCTGAAAGGGCGACGGCCGGCTGGGGGTCATGAGAAGCAGCCAGAGGCTGCCATCCTGCACCCCGAAGTCCAACCCCGGACACACCGCCATTTTCTGCCGAAATTGCTGATCATAACGGAACCAGCATTGACCACCGTATATTTTGTAAGCCCCCCCAAATGAGATCTAAGTACCCAAATAATGAAGGGGCCCTATCCCCGGAAAATGACTAGACAATACGCTTGCGAAAACAGAAAATCCCTGCAACCAGTTTCCAAAAGTTCTTGGGAGCTGCTTGCCCTTATCCCCTTCACCCGGCTACCCCGTCTAGGCCTATCTACCGAATCCTTATCTGGCGGAACCAGGGATAATAAATCCACAAATTCGCCACGCACTATCTTCTCGCGCGTCTCACTAGGGACATGGATGCCCAGCGGAGCCAACTCACACCCAGGTATGCTGGGGCGGAAAAAAAACCCAGTGGAGCCGCAAGCGCTGCCCCTGGTAACCCAGCCACTAGGGCCCTGAGCAGGCGCACAACTTCCCCTTGTGACTCCCTGGAACCCCCTAGGCTGGCACCCAAACTACCCCATGAGCCTGCGCATGCTGACTCACCAGACACAGGAAGGCTTCCAGGCACCTGGACATCCAGCTGTTCCTCCTGCTCCTCAGCGCTCTCTTCATCACCCAGGGCCGGTTCCTCCTCCTGACCCAGCCGACCTCGCAGCAGGCCGCCATTCTCCGCCTCCTCTGGCCGACCACAGCCTTGGCCGCCATCACCCGACCTCCAGGGCAGACCGCCCGCCCGACCGCCATCCCTCCCCGACTCCTGGGCACTCACCAGGCCAGCCTCCAGGCTGCCCGGCTCTCTAGACCGGTTTGCCAGGCTCCAAGATGGCGGGGCCTGTGACGTCAGCACGCTCCGGCGCACTGACGTCACGTACGCACCACGTGTCGCCTCCTCCGTCCGTCTTCCCGCGCGCCCTGACGTCATTTCCTGCCTCGCCGGAAGAGAAGCAGGACTCTGGGATCATGCTGCGCGCCCATCGCCATCTTGATCCCGCCGACCATCCTCCATCTCCTGCCGCTGCCGCCCGCCAGCAGCCCGGGTAGGTAAGGGGACACCTCCAGCCGCTCCTCCGGATCCGTCCACCGCGGTCGCTCTCCGTCTGCCGCTGCTTCGCCGCACTGGGCTGGGGGAAAGGCGCGTAGGAGGTCTAGAGCACCTAGGCCTCCTACCGCCATCCGGCCTCTGGTCAGGCTCCACCACCACTGGACATTCGCCACTCCCTTGCAGGCCAGCCATCACTTCACCTAAGGACCCGGAGCCATTCGCCGCCAGGTATGCCTGCAGCATGTCCACCATGGCCTCCCTTGACACGACCGCCATAGCTAAGCCAGTAATGTCTGAGTAAGTAGCGCTAGTAGAGGAATATTCTCTGTCTACTTTGTTGGGGGTTTTTTTGTTGTTTTTTTTTTTTTGCACTCACAGCAGGTGTATGGAAATGGGGAAATATGGAAAAGCTCCTTTCAGATATCTCCCTTCCTGTCTTTCCCTTCCTTAGATAGTCCAGGGAAACCCTCTATATCGACAGTAATACAGTTTTGTATTCCTCATGCTCTGGTGTTCCTTTAAGGAATAGGATTCAGGCATACATTGTGAACAACAATGTCATTAGTAGGAAGCAGCATGGGTTTATGAAAAACATCATGTTAAACTAACTCAAATGCGATCTATAAAGAAGTAAGTAGAAGTATATATCAGTGTATTGATACTGGATGTTATCTGTTTGGATTTTGCTGTGGCAGTTTATACAGTTGGACACAGAAATGTACTGTACAATTTAAAACAAATCTGTTTATAAGAAAATGTTTGTCTCTTAGATTGAATATTGGGTTATAGAGTAAGTGCAGACAGGGCCGGACTGGCCCACCGGAATACCGGGAAATTTCCCGGTGGGCCGCAGCACTTGGGGCCGGTCTGACAGCCCTAATCACTAGGCTGACAGCTCCTGTGATCCCGGCCGGCCATGTGTGAGTTGTGCGGCCGCACAGAGCTCCATGGGAGCAGGGGGAGCCAGGCGGCCGGCACAGCTCACACATAGCTGGCCGGGATCATTTAAAAAAAAAAAATTGTGGCGGGGGCGGAGCTAGCGTGCGGCGTGGCAGAGCTTTCTGTGTGGCGGGGGCCTGGCTAACTGCAGCATGGGAAGCAGGAAGGAGTCCCTGCTTCCCCAACAACAAGCCTCCAGGAGCTCCAAGCAGGAGGTAAGAAGGAGGTCAGTGTGTTTGTGTGTGACTGCCTGTGAGTGTGTGACTGCCTGTGAGTGTGTGACTGAGTGTGTGACTGTCTGTGTGTGACTGCCTGTGAGTATGTGACTGTCTGTGTGAGTGTGTGACTGTCTGTGTGTGACTGTGTGTGACTGCCTGTGAGTGTGTGACTGTCTGTGTGAGTGTGTGACTGTCTGTGTGTGACTGTGTGTGACTGTCTGTGTGTGTGACTGTGTGTGTGTGACTGTGTGTGTGACTGTCTGCCTGTGTGTGCGTGACTGCCTGTGTGTGTGTGTGTGTGTGTGTGAGTGTGTGGCTGTCTGCCTGTGTATGTGTGTGGCTGTCTGCCTATCTTTGTATGTGTGGGTGTTTGCCTCTGTGTCAGTGACTGTCTGCCTGTGTGTGTGTGTGTGTGTGTGGCTGTCTGCCTGGGTGTCAGTGATTGTCTGCCTCTGCATCTGCTAGTGAGGGAGCCTCTGTGTGTGTGCCTGCTAGTGAGTTTGTGTGTGTGTGTGTGTTTGTGTGCCTGCTAGTGAGTGAGCTTGTATGTGTGTCAGTGAGCTTGTCTGTAGGGATCATATGTGTGTGTGTGTTAGTGAGCTTGTCTGTAAGGAGCATGGGTGTGTCGGAGCCTGTCTGTGGTGAGCATGTGTGTACAGTGAGCTTGTCTGTAGTAAGCATGAGTGTGATCGTGAGCTTGTCTGTAGTGACCATATGTGTGTCAGTGAGCTTGTCTGTAGTGAGCATGTGTGTGTCAGTGAGCTTGTCTGTAGTGAATCTGTGTGTTAGTGAGCTCTTCTGTAGGGAGCATGTGTGTGTCAATGGGCTTGTCTGTAGGGAGAGTGTGTGCGCATCAGTGAGCTTGTCTGTAGTGAGCGTGTGTGTGTGACAGTAAGCTTGTCTATAGTAAGCTATGTGTGTGTATCAGAGTTTGTCTTTACTAAATTTGTGTGTGTGCCAGTAACCTTGTCTGTGTGTGTCATTGTCTGTCAATGAGCCTATTTGTGTGGATCAGTAAGATTGTTTGTCTGTGTGTGAGTATGCTTTACTGTATAATTTAATTACCCTGAAAGTACTAATATTTTGAATTAGAAGAAGAAATGTATCAATAAAATATATATATATATATATATATATATATATATATACTGTTGCATCACCAGGGCTCCAGTATCCAGTATATATATAGGCAATTGAAATAGTTGGCTGCACTCTCGGATTTCCTTAAAATTTTACTTTTATTGAAATATTTAAGAGAAGATCAACTTTTCAGTCCCTCTTGTGGACTTGCATCAGGATCATGACGAAAGTCCACAAGAGGGACTGAAACATTGATCTTCTCTTAAATATTTCAATAAAAGTTACATTTTAAGGAAATCCGAGAGGGCAGACAACTATTTCAATTGCCTATATATATATATATATATATATTTAAACACCCTACATAGCACAATGACTTATGGGGCTGGCATAGATTTTTTTCCAGGGCTGCTTCGTATCCTCAGTCCGGCCCTGAGTGCAGAGAATAGTTATCCATGGAAAATGTTCAAATTGATAAACATCAGAGAGTAGAGTACTGCAAGGTTTGTTTATCTTTAAACTGTTTATGAATGATCTTGGAATGGACATCAGACGATATGTGTCAGTGTTTACAGATGATTCAAAATTAGCTGAAGTAATCCATTTTGATCCGAATATTACTTCTAATCAGAGGGAGAGGGATTTGGATAAATTAGGGTGCTACGGAAACATGTAGCAGATAAGATTCAAAGTAGATAAATATTATGCATGAAGAACCCACAAGCAATGTATGTGTGTAAGACCCACCTTAATATGCAGTTCAGTTTTGGGAACTGCGTCTAAAGATATTGCAAAGGGATTACAAAATGAATAAGGGGAATGGAAGATTTTTCCTAATGAGGAAAAGAAAAGAAAAAAAAATACATTTGTTGGACTCCAAGCAAACTTTATAGTGTTCCCTATGATTTGTAGTGGACCAAAATTATATTTATTTCCAGCTCAATATCATCTGTGTCTAACCATGACACACTGTTTGCTGTATGTAGAATGCAAGTTCATGTTTTGCTAAAAAGGAATAAATACTAGTTCTATGACTTCCAGTACCATGCTAAACCAATTACTAAACAAAGAGACACTGATAGCCCGCTTTGACAATCTAGCGGGTGGGTGCTAACTGCCATTAGGTTCAAAAGGACCATTTGCTACATTTTGACTTACTGTTTTTTTCTGTTTTTTTCCCTTTTACCAAATATTTATTTTGCTCCTTGGACTCCTAGACATGAATGTTTAACAAAGAAATGTGCACATTGATTTACAATAATTCATTATATTTTGTATACCTAACCAAAACAAATATAGTCATTGTGGTATTTCTGTGCAGAAATATTTTGTGTTTATTATGTGTGACACTAACGGGTCTACATTAGTACACATGGATAGTTATGTGCATGCGTTTGTTCTTTCTCAGGTAGATGGAGAACACCTGAAAAAATAAACCATAAATATACATACATGTTTTTGTATTTGCTGCTATGATTTGAGTTTATGGTAATCACCTTTTGTTTTTTATGGCTTACAAGAAGTTTAGTGAAAAATATTTTTTCTGCATTTTTTAGATCTCATTGTGTTTGCCGATGTTTGAGTAAAAGTTGACACCACAAATTCTAAACTTGATACATTTTATTAGAAATGCAAAAAACTCATTAGCAAAATTAATATCCAAAATAAATATATTTTACAATTTGTAACGTATAATACATTCAAGTACAAAGAGAAAATTCAATACTGGAAGCACTATATATATTTACAAATTACATTTTTACTCAAATTTCAAGTTAAAACTGGAATTTCATCCTGCTTTGTGTATTTTTGGAGGAGAAAGGAAACAGTAACCACTCAGAATGTTACTGTCCACTTGGCTACGATGTACAATCACTTATACCGGTATGCCCAGAATAAGGTCACGAATTTAGCAAACATTGATAGTTGGAAGGTATGTTGCGAAAGAGGTGCGAAGGCATAGACGAGACACAAATCTAAACCCTCCAACTCCCAATTTATGGATCAATTATTAAACATGATACAAAGATAACAAAAGTTACACGAAGTAAGGAGCCAATCAAGAAGTGGAGCTCGAATGCATGATGGGAAATTTTCTCAGCATACGAAATGTAAACGCCAACGTGCTGTTCAACTATATTATATAGTGCTGATAGATTTTATAACAAAACTGTTAACACAACATATATTTAGTTCTTAGTTTTTTTGTTTTGTTTTTTTATTTCCTAGTAAGTAATGTACCATACTCTAAGGAGGTGTGTCTTCATTTTGGTTGACCATTCACTACCTTAGTGACCAATTCTTGAATTGACAATATAACTCCGTGACCAATACTTCAATGACAATATAATATGTTCTTAGATTACGTATATTAAACATCTTCATTAGACTATTCCAAATGTTTTCCATTGCACCCGGGAACACAGGCAATAGTGTAGGTTCCGACACTCTCTTCCAAACACTTGAGATCCAAAAATGACCTGGAGACCCAATGTAGGTCCCAATCTAAGTTTTTAAAAGCATACTTTAAAAAACACAGTTAAGGCTGTGGGATTTATTTTTCCACTGTACTTTACAATTGATTTATTATGTTAAACCTTTTACTATAATCCTATATTTTATAGGAAAGTAAGGTTTATGATTCATTCTCATGCTTTGAGAAATTTGCTAAGATAGTTTTACAGTTAATAATGACATTGTAAATAATACACAACAGAGGTATCCAAACTGTTACCTTGTTCATGGTAATTGGAACACATCTGTGGTATATCCTGTGGCTTTGTTCACTACCATCTACATAAAATGTCCTGAAAACCTCCAACCTAGTCTTCCAGCAAAGCCCACCATCAGTGTAATGTAACAACACCTGTTTCATTTCCGCCCATCCATTGAATTCAACATATCCATGTTGTTGTTATTTATGGAAGTTTAAATAATGACACAATTCTGAGTCTGATCAAGATTCTGATAAGACGCTCTGCGTGGTAGAACTGGCCATGTTTAGTCCTTCGGACCTAAGTTGCTGTAAAATATTTATCATGCAGATTAAGAGAATGAACACCACAACTAGGTCATCGATGGTGCTTAGGATTCCACACAAAGGGTCTCTGATCACATCAAAAGGTGAGGACAAGCACATGATTGCTCCAAACAAGCACACAACAACTCTGAGACAGAATATCCACACAAGTCCACCCATTGTGAAGAGTCTTCTCAAAACCAACTGTAGTAAGGAAGGCAGGTCGTAAAGATAGTCTGTCAACTACAACAGAGAAACAAATATTTTTATAGTCAGGGTATTCTACTCCATATCTCTGGAGTAAATAAACAAGTTACATTGAATAGAACTGTTGCAAACATAATACAATATGTAAATAGTAATCGGTAAAATAAGTGGTGAGAACACAACTGAATTAGAGTGCAAACAAAACATGCCATGGCATGTGATGAAACACTATTGTGATATTAGAATGTAATGTGACAGTAAAGCAGCCACATGTGTGTATACTGTTTTAATCAAACCCCGCACTGCCACAGTGGCAAGGAATTGCAGCCTGGATACATGAAATAATCTAATGTTATGAAAGAATGTCAAGCACACACTTTATTAGTGCTAGTACAACCAACCATTATTGATGTTCATAAATTGGATAATTATAGGAGAGACTGCTTCTTTATGCCACAGTACTGGGTGGAGTATTTTAAAATACTGATGTTTTGTAGTAAGTGTGCAATTCATTTAGAAGAAGAGTGAAGTATGTTTGTTATGGGTACAGATGATGTTAGTGAAATTTCCAAATAAGATACAGAACATGTATTATTAATCAGTCTGGTTGTCATGTGTGTGAATGATGGAAGCTGCTCAGGTATGTGTACCATATGGGAGAGTAATGAGTATTTTTAATGATGTACATGTGAATGCAAGTGAGTGACAGGTGATGAGTGTGTGGTGTGCTAAATATAGTAAAATGAGGTGGGTGTCATATAGTGCTGTATTTTCATGTGGGTACCTGATGGATGTCCTATACGTATCTTTGTAAAGTGTACTCTTTGAGAAGGTATGGTTGCCGTATGGTTCACGATGAACGTACTGAAGGCACGTTCGCATCTGTGGTTAAGCCTGCATTCTAAATATGTGTCCTGGATCCTACATCCAGTTTAACTTTGTAGAATCCTACCCAGTTTAAGAAAGAAGTTTACAACTGTAACTTTTTCAATGTCAGAGTGATGAGAAAACTCGTGGTTTTATCCAAATGTTGGATCTTCAAATTGGGTTTCAAATTTATAACATTGCTATATGTAAGTTCTCAAACCTAATTTTACCAGAAAACAAGGTTGCAAACAAAATAGAACAGACATAGGCAACCTTCGGCACTCCAGATGTTTTGGACTACACCTCCCATGATGCTTTACCAGCATTATGGGTGTAAGAGCATTATAGGGGGTGTAGTCCACAACATCAGGAGTGCCGAAGGTTGCCTATCCCTGAAATAGAAGAATGTTACACAGCTGTAAAGTAATAAGAGAATCATAAGTATTCACTTACCGGTCTTGGCTTCCCGGAGAAGCGATTGTTGTAAAGTCTAATGTCTTGAACAATATTACGGCACTCCACATCTTGGTGTATTTCACTAAATTCTTTGTAGAGAAGAACAACCTGTAAGTAAAACATATGTGGTAAGATTAGCCCTTCAATGACTATAGAAATGGAAGTTTAGAGTTTAAAGTTTAAGAATAAGAGATTATATAGTCGTGTGGTACACAATTTTCAAACAATCATCCCAACCAGCCAAGAGGGCTGCCAGCCTGCCAAACATTCCCACTCTGATTACACTTTCTGAGTAGGCATATTGCCAAGGATGCATTTGCGTTGCTTGTATGTTGTCCTGCTAGACTAGTCCAGTTTTCACTTCCCTTCCTCTTCTGATCTTAGACTTTCCAAACTTGGTAGGTCTGTTTTTCAATTGATCTCATTGATTCTGTATATTGATCTCAGTAGGATATTATGATAAGCTGACCAGTTTTATGCAAACGCAGAAAAAAGATCACAGAATACACATAATTATGAATCTAACTTTCATTTTTTTTTTAATCAACATGCTGAGTGTTCATTATTCTACTTCCAAGTGTATCCGATTGGCTGTGTTTATTTCCTGTTAGTGTATTTGGGAAATAACAGCCAAGTTGAAGTTTTTTTTCCATAAGGCCCACCTGCCAAGGAATGCAAACCTTGGCCAATAGTAAACCACAATATTATATTATAATAGACCCCCTTTTCCAACCCATTGTGAAAAGGTTTTACCTTTTGTCTGCAGAGAGGACAATTTATGGCTCCTAACCAGGGATCGTGTTTCCAATACTCCATAAGACAGGATCCTACAACAGCGAAATATACAACATGTTTACTTGAACAATTAACTTTACTTAGTATTTTCAGATTTTAAACAAGCAATTATTCTGCTAATCTCACGGTTACTAGATTAAGACACCTGGAGTTGTAGAGACCCAGACAGTTCACAAAATAGATTACTTGTAAATACTTGTGTATTTAAATAATGATTTGGTCCTGGGGTTCTTATACTACATAAGTGAACCTTTAAAAATTGTAACAGACAAATAATCAGGACCCAGGAGCCCACTATACATTATTTGCTACACATATTTGTTGGGGGTTCAGCTCAGAGATCCACAGATTTCGTCATAAAAGTGCAATGCCACACCGTATTTATTTACTAAATTAATTATACTGATCTGCATGCATAGGAAGGTTGAGAAGGGAGCTGGCCCAGATCGCCTTCACAACATTAACCCATTCATAGCCCATCACAAAAAGTGATCAGCCATTCATATTAAACAAGCTGGTGCTATGACCAACCAGCTATTGTCAGGGAGATCATTTATGCACTGATGAGAATTATTTTGAAATATTGCCAGAATGCATGTTTCGAATCTGAATAATCCTGTCTTTACAAATAAATATTCAAGAAAACAATACATATAAAGCTCCCTGCAAGATACTGGCTGAATTTGTGACTGGGGGTGTTTTTTGTTGTTTTTTTTTTTTAATAGTGACTTTACAGACTCCGAGAAGGATGCAAATAATTCAATATGACCGAACGCACATATATCTGTTGAGTGGATTTCCTGTATGTTTCCTGAACATATGGTTCCTGATCAATAAAAAAAATGAAAAGGGCAAACCAGCTGTGCTGGAATTAGAACAAATTGGTTGGGACATTTCCTGCACACATTTTATGTTCATTTTCAAGGTATACAATGACATTCGGTCGTCACCTCTTGTCATCAACAACATATTCTTGTTTATTTTAATTAGGGAACTAACAGCCAGGCTTTTCCTGAGGATGGAATCCCAGCTGGGTCTGAAAGCTGTCTCAGACACAATAAGGTATTAACCAATTAAAACATTTTGTCCTGAACTTTGTACGAACAATTACTGTAAATGTGTGTACTCCAACGATAACCTAGACAGTGTGGAATAAGCTAATAGATATATCTACATTATCTATTGGCTGGAGGAGTCCTGAAAGACCATAAAAGGCACAACTTCATAGTTATGGTGTCATTTGTCTTTTTATTAAAATAATGAATAGATCATAATGAACTGTCTTTTTTTTTTCTACATGTGTGAATTGACATCTATTGTTCTAGTAATAAGGCAAAAAAAATTTAGGGGGTTTCTAACATTCTAACATTGTATTGTTTTTGTGCGTCTAACTCGTCTGTTTACAAGTGCGTGTGTGTTAGTCCACCCATTGTACAGCGCTGAAGAATTTGTTGGCGATTTATAAATAACAATAACATTGTATAGAAATTCTGGATAGTCTCCAGCACACTGCTTTTCTGTGACAAGAGCAGTAGGTGGCGCTGTCCTGTATTTGGATCTGAAACATTACCAAGCTGGTATTACTGCCAGCGAAGCCTTGTCCAAAAAAATGTGAGCTGTGTTTAAAAATAGCTGACAAGTCAGGTAGAACGATCAGGCTTTGCTGGGCACTTTGCCATTGCACCATGGGTTTCAGGTGATGAAATCAAAATAAACAAGATAATCCGCAGCAAGATTGTTATGATAACTGCAAACTTAGTTTCCACAGATAATGAAATAGCTTTTCACCTCCTACATCTAAAATGTGAGGAATTTCATTATGCTTGTATATGCATTACATTGTATATTTGGAACACAACATGGACGCATGGGTTGACGAGGCTTCTGCTTAAAGCAGGATGTGGTGACCTGTCCATCTGTTAGTAAATGCTCTGTGGTCACAGTGCCAAGAAAGGGTGGTACAAAAGTATGTATTCTTTTGCCTTTTTATTGAGATAAGTATAAAATGTAACTAGCCAGGCATAGTGGAACCTTTCCTATCTATTACAGGAGAGTGGTGGAACCTTTCTTATCTAGTACAGGAGAGTGGTGGAACCTTTCTTATCTAGTAGAGTAGTGTGACCTTTCTTATCTAGTACAGGAGAGTGGTGGAACCTTTCCTATCTAGTAGAGTAGTGTGACCTTTCTTATCTAGTACAGGAGAGTGGTGGAACCTTTCTTATCTAGTACAGGGGAGTAGTGAAACCTTTCTTATCTGGTACAGGAGAGCGGTGGAACCTTTCTTATATAGTACAGGAGAGTAGTGGAACCTTTCTTATTTAGTACAGGGGAGTAATGGAACCTTTCTTATCTAGTTCAGGAGAGTAGTGGAATCATTCTTATGTAGTAGAGGAGAGCAGTGGAACCTTTCTTATCTAGTCAGCTTATCACTCTCAGCCAATGAGCTAAGCCCTGTACTGCAGAGTTTATCACAGGCAAACTAAAGAAAGTTCTTACTTAGGAGCTCTTTGCTCTTCGGTGGTAGTGGTAGAGGCAGGGAGCATTTCCTGACGGATTCCAGATAAGAAGTCAATTACTTAAAAAAAACAATTTGACTACTTACAATGGGGTTGCGCCGAGGCACTCCTGACACCATAACTTCTACAATGAGCTGTAGTAGTTATGGTGCATAGATTGTTCCTTTAAGAAGACTACAGGCCTAATGTAGATACAGCAGAGTTTTTATAATACTAATGGTTAGGGATCAGAGCAATATAATGAAAAAAGATCAACAGTATTGAAAGTGCAAATGTAGACTTTTATGAAAGTCATGAGAATTGCAGAGAGCAGAACAGTACAAGGAATCTAAAGCATTAAATCTACCACTAATGCAACTGAAGCTTAAATAACTTAAAATAAGCAAAATAAACCACATAACGTCAAGGTAAAGAGTCGCAGCCAATCTTAAACAGGACCCTCATTTATTTTTTATTATTATTTTTTCAACCATTATATACGGGATTTATTATTATATAGGAGGTGACTTTAAAACCTTTTCTTAGCTACGCTAATAAAACATCAGTATAATGTTTATATAATCTGACTTGTGCCAATGGTGTAGAAGTGTATGTTTATTTAACTAGCAATCCTCGCAATGTGCAAGTCACGATTGTAAATAAAAGCATTGTCAAGGAGGGGTGTGTGTCGGTGTAATGCTGTGATTGGCTTTTTCACACACACATATTACACAACACACACATGCAGTTCCATATGTGGCCAAAGGTTTCTCCCATATGATTTGCAGTTAGGTCTCAAGACAAGTTCTTACGTAAAACTGGATTCTTTTTTTTATTTTTATTTCCTCTTTGAGATTTTGTGCAGCTATGGTAAATCCTTGATTAAAACCTCAGAATGAAAGCTGACAGTCTGTCTCTTGTACTAATGTGAGATTGGCTGTAATTCAAAATACATTGTAAAACAACTCTGTTAACAGACAAAAACGTTTAACAAATATGGTTAGCTTCCACTCCGATCTCAAACAAATGGGATCTCACTTGCATCTTTACAGCGTTTAAAGGATCACTATAGTGTCAGGAAAACATAGTGGTTTTTCTGACACTATAGTGCCCTGAGGGTGCCCCCACCCTCAGGGTCCCCCTCCCGTAGCCCTGAAGGGGTTAAACCACCTTCAGCAGCTTACCTTATTCCAGCGCCAGGTTCCCTAGGCGCTGGTGACCTTTCCTCCCCCGCCGACGTCAGCTCCCTCTGCCGACGTCAGCGGAGCCGAATGGCTGAGCGCATTCAAGCTGTCAATAGGAAAGCATTTTTCAATGCTTTCCTATGGACGCTCTGCACAATGGAGGCATAATATGCCTCCAGCGTCACAGATGCGCCTCTAGTGGCTGTCCGGAAGACAGCCACTAGAGGCTGGCTTAACCTCAAATGTAAACTTAGCAGTTTCTCTGAAACTGCTATGTTTGCATCTGGAGGGTTAAAACCTGAGGGACCTGGCACCCAGACAACTTCATTGAGCTGAAGTGGTCTGGGTGACTATAGTGTCCCTTTAACTATACCATTGGCCTATAACACTGTCCCAAGGACAGTCCAGTAGAAAAACAGACAGCAAGTCCACTCAGCTCGAAAGATATAACTATCCCAGACCATTGTTTTATCTTTATTTGGGGCTCATCAGTAAGGTCCACCAAGGAACGGACACCCCGCTAGCCACCGTGAAATATGAGTCCAGTCTGATAACCTTATCTGGGTAATTCATTCAGTCTTAATTAAAAAATGTTCATCATTAATAATTTCGAATAGTTCCTATTTCAACATTTTTCAACAAGACAGTTTATGGTACTTTATTGAGGTCACTTACCACAAAATAAATGCCCACAGTTGGTCTCTACAGGTAAGGTGGCGGTTTGTAAGCAGACTGGACAGTTTAAGTCCGTGTGAAAGTGCGGTTGACGGGATTTGAAGGCATCCTACGATCACAGATGGAAAATATCAATGATCTCCCACCACCATTAATCAATATACTCTCTACACAGGGTTTATTCGGTAAACAAGTCACCACTATTCACAATAAACCTATGTATTAACTTGAAAAGTGAATATCAAAATAGGGTTTATTCACTAAACGTTGTAGGACATTTTATGCCAAAACATACAAGCTGGAAAAAAGTAGGACTTTTAATGTTCCAGGCCGGAGTGGTCTAGTAAAGCATTAGATCAAATATTTATGGAAAACTCATGTGGACTGAAAATCCAATCAAACTACTTTGCATCCTGTGAGTGACAACCAAGGAGACGGGGCAGGGGTGGAGCTGGAATAAAGGTAAGTTTTATACTTATTTAAGGGAGTCAAGAGGTGGTCTTCCACCTAAATATTGTGTTTAACGCTATAAGGTTAGAAATACATGTGTTTCTTTGACCTCTTATTATACTGCACTTACAACTTGTCTAGCCTCTTTAAATCAGTAAACATCAGATATTTTTGTGTACTCTATTTCCCATGATGCTCAGCAGTCAGCCTTAAGACTGGCATAACATTATATGAAATGTAGTTGACCATCAAATAAAATAATTTTATACAATAATTGTTCCTGTTTCTCTATTGAAAAACGTGAATGGAGTTAAAATGGCTTTGTTTATATAAAGACATTAACCCTTTCATAAAAATGGAGGAAATATCATGACAAAATGGAGGAAATATCATGACAAAATGGAGGAAATATCATGACAAAATGGAGGAAATATCATGACAGTACTTTCACATAATGCTTCATGTAGGGTTAAAAGCATATTCTTACATTGTTTAGTTTGTATTACACCCCTTAAACATTCTAAATGGGCAAATAGTGACACTTTCCTTTCGGGGGTATGAGTGGGGGCAGGGGGAGGGGACGGGGTTGGGTGAGGGAGGGGCGTCCATAGGCAGGGCTGTTCTGAGAAGTTTATTCTAATAACAATTTATGCAACTAAAATGTAATTTAAAACAATAACAATGTATCTTATTTATACAGACTAATTTGTAAAACAGTTATTGTAGTTTTAAGACCCATTAATGTGAGTATTATTGCTGCGGAGCTCTGTGATACACTCAGACACACCAACAATATAAAACTTCTAGAAAAGAGGGACAGAGTGATTTTGGCACAAAATTGGGACTGTCCCTCCTATATAATTACCCTTGGGAGGTATGGTATTAATATATTGACTATAATTTTCATTCTTGCTGGAAACTTACTTTGTGATTTTTAGATTGTAACGTTTCATTCTCTCTTCTTTGGGAGCTCATCTCTGATTTGTTTACATAGGAGCATCTATGGAGAATATATAAATGTTATATTTGATTAAAATAAGCATCACTATTGCAGTTAATAATCATTTTAGTATATATAAATATATACTCCTAGCAATAGCAAAAAAATTGCAAAAAATTTTAAATACACAATTCAGAATAGTTTTCCTTTTTTTTCTTTTCCCAGTAATGGTTGAGTTACACAATACATAAATCACTAATAGATGGGATTCAGGAAAGCTGTGTTGCAATCTATGTGCATCTACAGTAACTCATAATGAAAATCCTGCAATTTCTCAGAAGTTTATTCATCTGTGCATTTCCAAATACATAATAAAAAGTCAATTAATACCTTTAAAAATATATATATATTTAATAACAAAATATATTATGAAAAGTATCTCTCAATTAAGGCATGCTGTTTTGGTAGGCATGCTGTTTCCAGTAGAATCCATCAAATGGGTTTAAAAGCATTTATAATCTGTTGCATTTCTGTTATTGATATTTTATATACTATTATTTTTCTTTTTTTTTACCATAAAACACTACTGATATCTATAATTTCCCACTGCTGATTAAACTGGTTTATATTTGATGACATTTTGATTAATTTTCACTTTCATGTAAATTGATTTATTTTTCGCGCCGATTCCCATGTTCGTTAAGTCTCACTAACACTCGCAGGGTGATTCAATAAAGGGAAAATAGCAAGGAATTCTAAGTGAATTCAAAACTTATTTCGACCTGGGCAATACCAGAAGTATAAGTGACTTAATTGTAAAATTATCGTTATTTTCAACTATTTTAGCCTAAATTAATTTTTCAATTAACTGTTAAAGGGATACTCTAAGCATCATAATGACTACGGCCTGCCAGTAAGCTGTCGAACCATTTAAGAACAGTTTGACATTTACCTGTCTCTGTTAGGCTCTAGTTGTCTACCAAGTGTGAGTTGGTATGGTCCACATTGTCATGATACTTTTACAGAAGATACCTTCATGGGTTCATTGCTTAAGGGTAACACTTTTTATTTTTCAAATATCTGCCAAATCAAAGTTGCGTTTTGAGTACTCAGATTTCAGTAAAAATCGTTTCTTAATGTTGGAGGTGGCTCATGATTTTTTTTTCTTTATTTACATTTTCAGGAGTTGTATGAAATAGGAAGACAACAATGTAAGACACTTATTCAGGAAGGCATGGAGATAACGCACCTGATAGCAGGTGGATATAAATCCAAAACAAAGTATCCAAGGAAACAATCAGATTTTACATAGTTTGCAGATCCATTGTTAGAAACCAATGTTAGAGAATAAAAAGTATAAAATAATATGCTGACCAAGTAGCTACAAGAGAGGTCTAGGGAAAGAGACAAAACCGTAGAAAAGGTTTAAGGGGAGAGGAGGGTTAGGAAGATCATTTCCCTTTAATGAACGTAGAGTAAAAACAGAAAGGGACAATTCCCATGATAAAATGGCAAAAGTTATGTTGCCTGATCTTGGAGATACCATCTTCCATTGCTGTTGGGTCTTCAGAGAGGACAGGAAAGATCCAGATGGGGATGGGGGATGCAGGGGGGAGGTAAAGGATGCAAAAGAAAGAAAGGAGGGTTAACAAGTAAAGAACTATGTATATGAGAAGTAAAGAGAAGAATTGGAGGGGAAATAAAAATTGAGAAGAGGGCTAAAAGGAGAGAATACATGGTAATTGAACAGTAAAAAAACAGAATCTAAAAATCAAAAGGTATTTACTTTTAAAGGAGTACTGTAGGGTCAGGAACAAAAACATGTATTCCTGACCCCCATAGTGTTAAAATCACCATCTAGCCCCCCTGGCACCATCTTGCCTCCCTAAATATAGTAAAATCTTACTTGTATTCAAGTCTGTAGCTGCTGGCTCTGCCCCTGTCTGCCTCTGTCCGGCTCCTGTCTGCTGACATCAGCAGAAGTGGTGGTCTGAGCCAATCACAATGCTTACCCATAGGATTGGCTGAGACTGTCAAGGAGGCAGATCGGGGCAGATCCAGCACAAGTCAAACACACCCATGGCCAATCAGCAACACCTTGTAGAGTTGAATTGAATCAATGCATCTCTATGAGGAATGTTCAGTGTCTGCATGCAGAGGGTGGAGTCACTGAATGGCAGTGCTGCTTACTCTGCAGCACTGAGATAGGTAGCACCTCTAGCATTCATTTTAGGCAGCCATGGCCCAAGAAGGATCTCTAACAGCCATCTGAGGAGTGGCCAGTGAAGTTATCACTAGTGTAATGTAAACACTGCATTTTCTCTGAAAAGACAGTGTTTACAGCAAAAAGCCTAAAGGGTATGAATCTACTCACCAGAACAAATGCAAAAAAACCTGTAGTTTCTGCATAAACTGTAAATATATATTCTTTACAGCATCTGCAGTGAGCACAGACCAGACAAGGAAGTGACTGGTCCTTTAAAAGGTTATTCCAGCCTAAAACCAGTGTTTTAACAAAAGAGGAGCTATGCCACCATTGGCTGTCTGGTGCAAGAATGCTATCAATGCTGGTGTTATGCCAATTTTGCACAGAATTAACATTAGCTAGCCTGGAACTTAGTTCTTAACTGGCTAATGATGCTGTCAGAGCGGAGTTACACCTCCAGCAGCTGAGATGTTAAACTCTGCATATACTGCGTTTCGAAAAACGTTGCATATACAGACTCCAGGCACCATGACCACTTCAAATCACTCAAGTGGTCATAGTACTTTAAGTAACCCTTTAATTTCGGTGTAAACTGTGAAGGAGCCTATCAGGGAGATAGGTATTAAATGGGTAGAGCAGTAGATAACTTCCTCCTGTGAAATCTGTGGGGCGACGGGTTATAGGTGCAATGATTTTTCCAAGTCACTGCAGTTATATACAAATTAGTGCAGGGTGACCGGGGCAGAGGATCGTCTGGCAACACAGCCTATGTAATGGACATAGGTTGTTATGGTGCTTGGAAAGTCCCTTTAAAATAAAGTTATGAAGATTGTGCTGTTATAATGGAAAATAACTAATATTTTTCCACATGGCAAACTCTTGTAATGATTTATTCACTGTGACAGAGGCTAATATAACGTCACTAATATAATCAGAAGTTGGGTCTTAGTGGTTCAAAGGTCTTGGAATACTGCGGCACAAAAATTAAAAGAAACACAGTGCCCTACCTTTAGATAAAGCATGTGGGACGTGACTGAACGGTTTATAAACATTACAGACTTCTGTTTAGATTGTGCAACAGTTTTATCAGTAGTTAAATGAATACACCATTTGTGAGAGCAGTTATTCTCTTGTTATGAATGGTTTTTCACACCGCACACTGCAGCGAGACAGATGCATTGTACAAGCAGGGATGTATTTCTACAGGCATGGACTTAGGTTGGCACTGGGAAGAGGTTGCAAGGATTTTAGGATTAAATAACGAATAAATAAATAATAAAATTACAACCAGCAGCTGCTGCCACCACTTTTTGATCCAAGTAGCCAATATAGATCATTTTTATTTAAAGGGACACTATAGTCACCAGAACAACTACAGCTTATTGAATTTGTTCTGTTGAGTAGAATAATTACCTTCAGGCTTTTTGCTGTAAACACTGTCTTTTCAGAGAAAAAAAACAGTATTTACATTACATCCTAGTGATAACTTCACTGGTCACTCCTCAGATGGCTGTTAGAGATCCTTCCTGGTTCATGGCTGCCTAAAATGCATCCAAACATTCAGTATCTCCTCCCTCTGAATGCAGACACTGAACATTCCTATTAGAGATTCATTGATTCAATTCATCTCTATGAGGAGATGCTGATTGGCCAAGGCTGTGTTTGAATTGTGCTGGCTCTGCCCCTGATCTGCCTCCTTGTCAGTCTCAGCCAATCCTATGGAGAAGCATTGTGATTGGATTAGGCCACCACTTCTGATGATGTCAGAGGAAGTTCACAGGCAGAGGCAGCAGCTTCAGACTTGAATACAAGTAAGATTTTTACTATCTTTAAGGAGGCAAAGGGGGCCAAGGGGGCTAGTTAGTGGTTTTAACAATATAGGGTCAGGAAAACATTTTTGTGTTCCTGACCCTATAGTGCTCCTTTAAAGTTAGCGTGCTCCTCTAATTTAGAAAGGGTTTCTCCAACACTTTTTTTATTTTATCAGAATAATTCCCTATTGGCATTATTCTGTAGGCCCCCCAAACAAAATACTCAAGCATTTTGAATTACGTTTTTACTAACCTCAATCCAGCGCAAGGCAAAGCTCCTGGCTCTGCTCGGCGCACCCGTGTTTGATATCATGGGAGTGGCACCGGCGTCCAATTAAAAGGATTCTCATAGAGAAGCCTTAGATTGGAGGATTTTATGGGCTCAGAGAGCATGTACGTGCCTGAAGCCTACAAGGGGAGAAGGAAAGAGAAGGAGGCAGGGATAAAAAAAAAAAAAAAATAGCACGGGGGATGGGGAAGTAAGAGGGAATTGAAGAGTTTCTCTCTTACAGGCAGCACTGCACGCTGCCAACGGATGTTAAACTATGCACGGAATAGATATAAGGCAACCTGGAACAGATTTCCTAAGTCACATGTGCTGGGGGTTTCTGGCACACAATTAAAGGGAAACTATAGGACCAGAAAAACAAACTCCTTTTCCTTGCACTGTAGCTTACCCTACAATCAAGGCTCCCCCCCCCCCCTTCTGTCACTTACCTGGGTCCAGAGCGATGTCCCTTAGCGCTGGCTCGGGTCTATCCCCTCTTCTCCCCCGCCAATGTTATTCACTGCTTTTCTATGGGGTTTTGGTTGATGCTGGATGTCCCCATTAATAGCGTTAGGACGTCCAGCGTCAGTTAGGCATCCGAGAGTAGCCCAACTGCCTGGAAGTCCATCTAGGTGGAGTTGACCCTTTTTTTAAAACGGCAATAATCACCTATTCAGGGTTAAGGGATAATGAGCTGAAGTGGTCTGGTTGCCTATAATGTCACTTTAAGAATATCTCTGTTTGTGCTGTGTTTCAAGCAGAAACATTGCACATCCAGACTCCAACAACCATAATGGTCATGGTGGTTGGAGCAACCGTTTTAACTTAAATACTATGGTAATATTTTGATATCTGCAATGCACCTTCACAAACTGAGTCAATTAAATTTATAAAGTCTGTTCTGTGGCTAAACCAATTATTCCTTCTCCAGGAAGCAGTTTAATATGTGCTTTGTAGTCCGTTACTCATAATGCCATATAAACTGGAATTACAGCATAGTGCGCACTTGACATTGTGCCACGTCCAAGAGCTGTTATGATAAAAGGAAGTGAAGCATAAATAAATGAATCACATGCCATGTTATGATGAGGCATAAAATAAAAAAACTATTGCTATTTATTTGCCTTTTATTATTTGTGTAAAGCAAGTTGTCTATACAAGTTGTGCTTTGCATGGCTGCATGCTGTATTCGTTTAGCGCAATCCTTATGGAACGTATGTGTTCTGTCCTTGTGTAGTTAACATGATCAGTGACATACAGAAACTCGTGCTGGGCAGTTTAACTCTTTATATCCTGGACGGTGCACCGCCAGCGGTATTCAAATCAAATGGATATCTTTAGTAACTTTTTAATTGCAATTAAACAGATCATCGGAGATGCCAGTATGTGGTTTATACAAAGCACTTTCTGTGAATGGTAATGTCATATCGGATTTATTTATTGTAGATATTCCAATACTAATCATTTGTAGTTGTTACTTCTTGCATAGACCCAGGGGGGTCATTTTAGGCATTGACCTTATGTTATTTATTTTTATTTACCAAGTGCTCATGGTAAAATAAAATCCTCAGTACTATTCAGTATTAAAGAAAAGGGGTCCTGGTAGTCTATTAAACTCGAGGCATAAGGTAAACAGTACTCTTCTTTACCAGAGAAAACATTTCTGGTACCCTCCTATTATTCATTGTAATTTTAAAATAGATGCGCTACCACCACGGTAGGATCTATGTTATAAAGCTGATGCATAAAAGGATTATTTGCTATAGATCAGTATTGAAGTTATTTAAAATGTAATCTGTATGTAGCAAAATCACCAACCCAGGGATAAATATGTGGGTTTATTCGCAAAAATTGTATCAAATTGAAAACCGAATGGCAACACTCGGGCTAAAATTCCCAAGATATGACTATAGCTAAATTGGAGACTTTTTTTAGATCGCCTTAATTTTACCATTTGGACACATCTCCCCTCTCTAAAAGATGCATCCAGCATCCCACAGTGCTAAGTCTGTGGACTAACTGCAGTCAGTATACATATAGTTTATTCTTCTATGCCAACACCACGGGGGGTGTACACTAAAATCTAAAGAAAGTATTACATTCTATCTATACATTTCATAAATGTGTCTATCCTAATATATAGGTCACGGGCAGCCAACAGCTACCTCTCCAGCTGATCTTATATCCAACTTCAATATCATATTTGCAAACTAGTACATTTTAACAGACCTTTCTACACAGTGATTCTGTTTTCTGTACAAATAGATTTCCATTCTTTAAGTTATAAAGTTTCTTGGTTACGTTGTTATATAGATAAGTATGTCTAAGGAAAGTTTTCTTACCTGGGCTCTGAGGAATTGAAGAAGGTGTGACTGAGCATACCAGCAGCTTCTGTACAATTCTGAACACACTGAAACCAGCACGTCCCACCCACAGAGCAGCTGACAGCAAACTGTTGTAGTGTCATTGAACACAGACCTAAAAAGGCCACATCTACCTGCCCTTATTAAACATTAACAACGATAAACCGGTGTCAAGGCTTTCATTATAAAACAAACTTACCAAAAGTAGGTTAGGAAACACACCAATGTAATACAAGCAAATGTGGACACTATTATTTATTTATTTTTCTTTGTTATTTTTTTTTTTTTTAGATACAATTTAACTAAATTTCCAAATGCTCACTCTGTTAACTATTAACCTGGCGATGTTCATGTCACAAGTGTTTTGGTCATATGACATTTGAGAAGCTCTCTCACTGTTAGACTGGTGCTGCTGCTAATACAATACAGTGCAAATATACTGATATTTTTTTAGTAAGTTTCTGCGGAAATGGGAGGAGGGGGGAACGCGCACATATTAAAAAAAACAAACAAAAAAAACTATTCCAGCAGAATGGATAAGCTGGAAAGAAAAAATAAATCCGCATAAAGTAAATTATTCAGTGTTAAGAAACATTAATTGCTCAATATTCCCATTAAAGATTTTATTATAGGAAAATTTCACTAACAAGTGCTCACCCGGATTATATTAACAAATATTAATGGTACACTGTAGTATTGGACTACATATTTAGGTTTCCAGCCACTCTCAGAATGGAGTAACAAGAATGGAATAACTTACCTTGTCTCCATCACTGCGTTGCTCTTGCCTTAGCTGGCCTTGCCTGCATGGCTGATGTGAAGAAATCACAAAGTTATTTAGGCTATTTTATTTTATTTCATTCGGTAGCTGTAACTACCGAACAGAGACGACCCCCCTGGCTCATTAACTTCAAAGCAAACCATCGTTTAAGACCTCTACCTGTGCGCCCGCTGTTCGTATGGTCGAACGCCACGTGCCTGAGAAAACGGCGGCCATCTTGTTTGCAAGAACAAAGGCAGTGGGACTTGGTCGTCGAGTGTCTGGAACTAAAACTAAAAATCGGACACTAGACTTCCCGAACACCGGTCCCAAAATGCGAACGTTTGCTTCTTCATTTCCCGAACCGCTAGGAGAGCGCTGTTCTATACTTTTGTTCATACGAATGAGGGGAACAATCGCTGCTAGGAGCCCAGGGGAACCGTTCATATATTTATTCGCTTTTTGAGACTTTTCGAACTAGACCGGCAAAAACACCAAAACTTGTGGAACTGTTTTGGGCAGGAGCCTCGTGGGTAGCTGGTCACCTAAGACCTCCATGGAATTCGAAAACCCCAGAACTGATCTGGGTGATTTTTGGATATGTTGGTCACCCAGATCAGGGCTATCAGGGGATACCTTATGTTTTAGGGTGCATTTTAAAAGTTGGGTAAAATTGTGATTTTTCTGTCTGGAGATAATTAAGTTATTACTTTATCAGCCTTAATTATCTCCAGGTAGAGAGGAGGGGATTATATGTTTGTACTCGGAGTGTTTAAGTATTTCTTTGCTGTATGATTTTATGTTCCTGTGGGAGGTCCCCTTGCACGGGGACTTGCATAAAAGCCAGTGTGGCATCATTAAACTTCAGTTCTGTTACACCCTTCATCTAGACTTCAGCTGATGTTTGGGTACCTGTCTGCTTTACTGGGAGAATCTACTTGGGAAGCTGTTATTTCATATAGGAATCACTTACTTTATTTAACCGAACGGCGAGTTATAATCACTGATACTCTGGAGGAAACTACCGAATGGGTGTAGGATATACAAGGTTTCCTTACAGCTGAGATCATCAATCTTGACAATCTCAGCCAATCCAATGTTTTCCAATAGGAAAGCATTGGGAAGCCATTGTGTATGAGTGACAAAACACCACCCTGCAGCAATAAGAATCCCCTCATAGAGCTGCATTGAATCAATGCATCTCTATGGGGAACGTTCAGAGTCTCCATGCAGAGCCCAGCACTGAAATTGGGAGCACCTCTAGTGGCGGTCTGAGTGATTGCACCTGCAGGTGTTACTAGGCAGCAATGTAAACACTACCTTTTTTTCTGAAGCCTGTCCTGGGTGAGATTATATACCGTGACACTATATAAGTCAGCTTTGGACAAGAAGGGGCATGTGACTGTCTAACCTTTAAAAGGCCTATTACTGTCTCAACAGGAAGAAATAAAAAGGGACCTGGTATGTCTATAGGGGAGAGCAGGATATATATTTAATAAACTGCTTCATTATTCTGATATACAATTAAAGCTTTATTATCTAGAAATCAATATACTTGAGATAAACACTGCTATATGACTATGATCTTATTACACAAGCTTCAGGACTTGATAAAATGAAATAATGAAAACAGAGGTGAAATCTTGTTGGGGCACTATCCTCATTGAAATATTTTAGCTTTATTAAATCAGGGAATAAAAAGCTATTCTTGCATTTATAATTCTTGCTTTATACCAAGAACACGGCACATTACTCTTTACTAACGTGAGTATAGAAAATAACTACTGGGCATCCCAGACAAAGCCACAGCAAAATGGGTGCATCTGGTAACCAGACTGCCTTCCATTAAAAAGAAATGTTACACATAAAATTATATTGTTTAATGTCCTTACCAAATAAATAAATAGTCATATTTGATTGTTCTATGCTTTCACATTTTGAGGTCAAAGTATAGTAAAATAAAACTGCATTATGTCCCAGCTGTTTGTAAGAGATGTTAGTCTTTTGAAATTAACCGTTTCTGAATCGCACACCGGTAAAATTGTAGCATTTACTCACGTGGTAGGTATAAAACGCATTTACCTCCACAGCACATTTGTGCAAAAGCAGCAGCATAATTCCACGGCACCTTTTTAGAATATCCGTACAACCAGTCCTGTGAGTGCAATTCCTTACTTTCATACAGCCGTACCCGAGCCTCACTGCACCCATGCATACCATGGGGTGTACAAATAACGCAGTACATTCTCTGGTTGTGCCACGGCAACTTTACACATGATGTAAATCAAAAGACAATACCATTTTGTTTTGTTTATTTGAAGTTCAAAGCATAGCAAATATTTAATCATCTATTGGGTTGTCCAAAACTTTGGAAAAAGTGACAGTTCCACTTTAAACTGGCTTTTTATCAAGACTTGTAGAGGTCTTTCTCTGCACGTCCATTATGTGACCCAGTTCATTTGTTGGAGATAAGAATCCAGCAAGCCAGGCATGCTAAGTGCATGCTCTGACCGGAGTAGATGCCAGACTCTGTTTTCAGCCAACACAGGAAAGCTGAATGTGGCTTTGCCATCCGAACCCCAGCCTGTACCTCTAGCCAGATACACAGCATTGATTATAAAGCCATGGAACTATATATGGCAAGGGGACAATGACTTTCCTATTGGCTAATAAAATCTATTAATCTGCTAGATTTTGTAACCACTATTGGCATTGATACAGTCTCTTTGGCAGATTGCGTATTCATCTAAATATTGCATGACATGCAATTTGTGTTGTGACCTTTCCAAACATATATATATATATATATTAAAGGGATAATTTGTATTAAACGTTGTACGAATGCAGAATATTGTATAAATGTGTATAAACACACGTGAAAACATTACTAACGATGAGGCGCACTTTCACCTGCTCTTTAATATATTTGATCTTGTTTAGTCTAATGCAGGGGCAGGCAACCTACGGCACTAGTGCCATGCACGGCACTCGAGGTGTCTTTGCACGGCACTCAAGGCTGCTGGAGCCAAACAGGCTGTGGACTATTAGAAGTCCCAGTTAAACTTCAGATATCTGCTAATACAAAAAAGTGGTGAAGGACAATTCTCAATTTATGCATTGCAGCACATAAAGGAAGTGATCTCAGATCACTTCCTCCAAGCACTTGTGAATGGGAATCCACACTGTAGTAGAGCAGCCTGCAGCTGCTGTTACTGCTCCTGTCCTTGACCTGTACCTGGCCAGCCTGGTCCCCACTGGAACCAAGGGAAGCCACCCACACTGCTAGATATACATAGAAATGCAGAATAACCCTCCCCTCATACAAATAATAAGAACAGCCCACACACAAACATACACAGAATCCGCACAAACATAACCCCTAACAATCCACATACATGCACACAACCCCACATGCAGCCTCTCACATGCAATACCCAAAACAGCCCACACACATTACCAAACACACAATGTGACATATCCACACACAATTCCACAAGCAGCCCTCATACACAGCCCACATTTATATGTATCATACACGATACCATAAACTACTAATGAACATATTCAATCTAATAGCTCATATACACACAAATACAATGATACAAAGCAATTACAGTGTAAATAACACAAGCAGAATACGGCAACATACACACGTCAATTTAAAAAAAAAAAAAATAGGATCGGCACGCTATGGGACATCACAATCCTATATCGGCACAGTGCTGCTAAAAGGTTGCCTACCTCTGGTCTAATGTATGCTCTGAAAAGCAAAGTTGCAGATGTCCTTGCAGCTTGAGAAATCACTGGAGCTTACGAACTATCACATAGAAATAACACACACATTTTTGCACAATTAAAACACCACTGGGATCATTGGGAAACCGATGTCAAAAAAACACATAACCTGTAATAACTTGTAATGTCGTGTTATTCAACTTAAGTGCCTTGTACTTTAACAAATTTACTGTTATAATGGTTGGATATCCCCCCTTTTTTTTCTCCCCCATGTCCCAGTTTTCACCCTTCCTTTCCCTTCCCTAATATATTGTTCTTTATTATTTGTAAATTCTGAAAAAAATTTCAATAAAAATTATTTGAAAATAAATCACTGGAGCTGCTTATTAAAGATAAACTATAGTGTTAGGAATACAAAGTTGTATAGTACCCTATAGCTCCCCTTACCTGCGAGCTCCCTCCCCTGCAGCGTTGAAAGTCAGCCAGTAGGGGGGGCCTAATGCGTGGTGAGCAATTGCATTAGGACAACACCACAGGACAGCATTGAATCAGTGATTTCCTATGTGGTTTTAGATGACTCTGGATGTCCTCATGCAAAACGTGAGGACCTCCAGTGTCAGTTAGGCATCCAACAGTACCTAAAAACCCAGAAGAGACTCTAAAAGCTGTCTGGTAGACAGCCAGTCAGCCAGTCAGCCAGTCAGCCACAAGAGGTGCAGTTAAACCTGCAAGGTAATTATCCCCTTCCCGACCTCTGACGTACCAGGTACGTCCGACAAAAAAAAAAGGTTGTTAACAACCTCGGACGTACTTGGTACGTCCGATAGTAAATCCTCACTTACCTGATCGCTGGTGATCCCCCGCTGGCGATCACAATCCTGGGGTCTGCCTGGGAGCTCACCCCCTCTGCCCAATCCGGCCTTCCCGTGCCATGTGATCGCAGGGTCCTCACGATCACATGGCCGGAAAAGCCAGCCTGTGCAGTTCTTGAAGGAGGCCTGTCTGAGCTCTCAGGCAGTCCCCCAAATGCCTGAAAAAAAAGTTTTAAAAGTTATAAAAAAGTTTAAAAGAGTAAATAAAAGCACTTAGATCATATATATATATATGATATAAGACCAGGGCTCTTTTATATATATATGATCTAAGCACTTATATAAACACACACACACACACACATAAATCATTATTAAATGTGTATTTTTATATTAATCTATATAAATATATATATATATATATTAATGTTAAAATACACATAGAATCATGTTAATTTTATATATATATATATATATATAAATAAAAAATATAAAATAATAAATAAATAAATGGGAAAAAAAATATACCGGTTTAAATTTGTTCTAACTGTATTTTGATATTAATATACATATATATTTAAATCAAAAAACATTTAGAATGATGTTATAAATACATAACCCCTTAACGACCGCAGACGTGCCAAGTAGGTCCGACAAAAAACGGTCATTAAGGACCACGGACCTACCTAGCACATCCGCGGCAAATAGGAGCCCTGGACTTACCTGGGCCGGCGATACGCAGTGATCACGGTCAGAAGGGTGAGACTTATGGAAACCCCAGCAGTGTCCCTGCAGCAGCTCCAGCCACTCCGTCCACCTCAACCCTCCAGGGCCATGTGATCACCATGGAGTCTATGGAGCTGCCAGCAGGGGGACTGTCTGAGCTGTCAGGTAGTCCCCCAGGCTGCTAAAAATATATATATACATATTATACATATATAATGCATATATATGATTTCATTATAAGTGTACTCTTATAATGAAATCATATATATGCATTATATATGTATAATATATTATAAAATGCTTTAATTATAATATATTATACATATATAGGAAATAAAAGTGTGTGTATATGTATATATATATATATATATATATATATATATATATACACACACACACACACAGATTATATACACACGTATTATATGTATCTGTGTGTGCATGTATGTGTGTATATATCTATATATAAATAATACATTTTAACCCCTTCATATATACACACTTACATACACACGTATTATATGTGTGTGTGTGTATATATCTATATATAAATAATACATTTTAACCCCTTCAGGACCGGCCTGTTTTTGTAATGTTGTACATTAAAGGACCACTCTAGGCACCCAGACCACTTCAGCTTAATGAAGTGGTCTGGTTGCCTGGTCCCTCTAGGATTAACCCTTTTTTTTAATAAACATAGCAGTTTCAGAGAAACTGCTATGTTTATAAATGGGTTAATCCAGCCTCTAAAGCCTCTAGTGGCTGTCTCATTGACAGCCTCTAGAGGCGTTTGCGTGCTTCTCACTGTGAAAATCACAGTGAGAAGACGCCAGCGTCCATAGGAAAGCATTATGAATGCTTTCCTATGAGACCGGCTGAATGCGCGCGCATCTCTTGCCACGCTTGTTCATTCAGCCGAAGAGGAGGATCGGAGGCGGAGGAGGAGGAGAGCTCCCCGCCTGGCGCTGGAAAAAAGGTAAGTTTAACCCCTTCCTCTCCCCAGAGCCTAGCGGGAGGGGGATCCTGAGGGTGGGGGCACCCTCAGGGCACTATACTGCCAGGAAAACGAGTATGTTTTCCTGGCACTATAGTGGTCCTTTAAGGACCAGGGCTCTTTTGTGGAGTTTGTGTTTAGCTGTAATTTTCCGCTCTCTCATTTACTATTCCTATACAAGTTATATATTGTTTTTTTCAGGACAAAAAGAGCTTTCTTTACATACCATTATTTGTATCATGTCATATAATTTACTTTAAAAAAAAATATGGTGAAAAATTGAGAAAAAAAAACATGTTATTTTACTTTTGCTTGAAAAATATTTTACTTACCTACGAAAGCTAATGAAAAAAAACTGCTAAATAGATAAAAAAAATTGTCCTGAGTTTAAAAACACCCAGTGTTTACGTGCTTTTTCTCAAGTTATAGGGCTATAAGTACAAATAGGATATTGATGTTTCAAAATATATATTTTTTAAATTTATCAATAGTGACTTTGTAACACTATTATCTGTCATAAATCTCTGAATAACACCCCACATGTACATATTTTTTTTATAGTAGACAACCCAGGGTATTCAATATTGGGTATGTCCAGTCTTTTTTAGTAGCCACTTAGTCACAAACACAGGGCAAAGTTGGCATTCATATTTGTTTGTGTGTGAAAAAAGTAAAAAACTAAATTGAATGCTAATTTTGGCCAGTGTTTGTGACTAAGTGGCTACTAAAAAGGACTGGACATACCCCATTTGCAATACCTTGGGTTGTCTTCTTTTGCAAATGGTATGCCATCATGGGGTAATTCTCATTCCTGGGCTACCATATGCTCTCAAAGGCAACGTAACCCACCTGGCCATTTTCAATGTAAAAATATTTGACCCTTATATTTGACCCTGTAACAAAAACGCTATAAAACCTGTACATGGGGGGTCCTGTTATACTCGGGAGACTTTGCTGAACACAAATATTAGTGTTTCAAAACAGTAAAATGTATCACAACAATTATATCATCAGTAAAAGTGCTGTTTGTGTGTGAAAAATGCAAAAAAAGTCACTTTCACTGACAATATCATCGCTGTGATATGTTTAACTGTTTTGAATCACTAATATTTGTGTTCAGCGAAGTCTCCCAAGTAAAACAGTAACCTCCATGTACAGGTTTAGGGTGTCATAGAAAGTTACAGGGTTAAATACAGTGCTAGCAAATTAAATTCTCTGGACTTTCGCTTGGGTTGTCAGGCAGGTCCCTCAAATTGCAATCAATAAAATTACTTAATTATGTAAAAATATTACATAAATACGCATGTAAAATTTAAATATATATGCTTATTTATATATCTGAAGTCTACGTGTATATTTATATAATTATTTATTTATGTAATTTTGTATATGACATATGTATTTTTTGTATTATTTTTATATACATAGATATATATACAATTTCTTTCTAAGTGTATTTTGATATAAATATATATATATATATATATATATATATATATTTATATCAAAATACAGTTAGAATAAAATTCCATATAGATATATCACTTTTTTACATTTTTATTATTTACATTTTTTAGTTTAATTTACTTATTATTTGTATTTCATAATAATATATAAATACAATATATATAGTTATTATATATATTATATATATATATATATACACACACGTGTGTAATTTAATTATAAGTGTATTTTTATATTAATAGATATACATTAATATAAAAATACACTTAGTATGACATTATATATATGATATATAGACCTATATTATATAGATATATGTCTATATATCATATTTCTAATTATTATTTTTTTAGTAACATTAACATTTTTTGATTTTTTGATTTTACAGCAGCAGGGAGACTGCCTGTCAGCACAGGCAGTCCCCCTGCAGGCAGACACTAGGACATCTCTTGTGACCATGTGATCGCTCTGTTGATTCACCATGGGGACACTGTCTGGGCTGCAGGCAGTCTCCCCACACCGGGAGCACTGCCGATCGCCGCCTGGGGAACGACGGCAATCGGGTAAGCACATGTGACCGTAATGACATTTCAGGACCGTCACCGGTCCTTAACTGTATGTTACCGATGACAGTCCTGAACCGTCATCAGTCGTCCAGGGGTTAAAAATATATATTTATAAAAAACAAATAAAAAAAATCTAGATTTGGCTACTACAAAAGACTGGAAATACTCCATTTTGAATGCCCCGGGTTGTATACATTTGAAAATGGTATGCCATGATGGGGTTATTTCCCATTCCTGGGATACCATATGGTCTCAAAAGGCAACACAGACCCAGCAAACCAATTTGGCAAACTGAATTGGGCAAGCTCTATATTGACCCCATAAATTTCCAAAACACCATAAAACCTGTACATAGGGGGTATTGTTATACTCGGGAGACTTCGCTCAACCTAAATATGAGTGTTTAAAACAGTACAACGTATCACAACGATGTAATTAACAGTAAAAGTGCAGTTTTATGCAAAAAACAAACAAAAATGCTAACTCTGGCCAGTGTTTGTGACTAAGTGGCTACTGCAAAAGACTGGAAATACCCCATTTTGAATACTGTGGGTTGTCTACTTTTCCAAATGGTATGCCATGATGGGGTTAATTTTCATTCCTGGACTGCTTTACGATCTCAAAGACAACATGGGCCCAGCAAACAAATCTGGCAAATTTTAATGTGCAAACACAGAAATGGGGAAAGCCCTACATTTCACCCCTTAAGTTTTCAAAAACCCGTAAAACCTGTACATTGGCGGGTACAGTTGTACTCACGGGATGTTGCTGAACACATATTGGGGTGTTCTTTGTCAGTAACACATAACGGGGACTGATAATCCATGCCTTAAATACAACGTGAGAGAAAAATAACACAAAAAATGACTACCCAAAAGTTTGACAAAGACTGGTGGTAGAATTAGTGCATGGAAAGTGTTAAAATACCACCATTTGAAATACCCTAGGGTGTCTACTTTAAAAAAAATATATGGTTTGATGGGGGTAAGCTTATATTTATAAGTATCTCCAACAAATGCAATACATACACACACAGTCCACTGAATACACACACACAAGACTGCTGAATACAGAGACGGATGAATACACACAGACACACACACACAGTCTGCTGAATACACACACACAGTCTGCTGAATACATACACACACAGTCCGCTGAATACACACACACAAGACTGCTGAATACAGAGACTGATGAATACACACACACACACAGTCTGCTGAATACACACATAGTCTGCTGAATACATACACACAAGACTGCTGAATACAGAGACTGATGAATACACACACACACACACACAGTCTGCTGAATACACACACACAGTCTGCTGAATACATAAACACACAGTCCGCTGAATACACACACACAAGACTGCTGAATACAGAGACTGATGAATACACACACACACACACACAGTCTGCTGAATACACATACAGACAGACTGCTGAGTACACACACACAGACTGCTGAATACATACACACAGTCTGCTGAATACATACACACACAGTCCGCTGAATACACACACACAGTCCGCTGAATACACACACTGCTGAGTACACACACATACAGACTGTTGAATACACACACACACACACACACACACACACAGACTGCTGAATATACACACACACACACATACTGCATTGAGGGGTGTAGTGTATGTGTTTGTGTGTGGGGTGCTGTGTGAGGGGTGTTGTGTGTGTGTATGAGGGGTGCTGTGTGTATGTGAGGGGTGCTGTGTGTGTGAGGGGTGCTGTGTGTGTGTGTGAGTGGTGCTGTGTGTGAGGGGTAGGGATGGGGAGGGATGCTGGGTGGAGGGGAGGGAATCTGGGTGTGGGGGAGGGGACAGATGCTGGGGAGGGAAGGGGTACTGTGTTGGGGTGGTAGGGGTACTGTGTGTGGGGGGTAGGGGTGCTGGGGTAAAGGTGTTTAAAAAAAAAAGTATGCTATATCAGTATCACCCCCCCCCCTCCTTCTAACCTTTAATGAAGGAGGGGGGGGGACACAGCCATCCCTGGTGGTCCGGTGGTGGCAAGCACTGCTTCCGTGTCGGGAGGCAGGGGGAGGGATCTGTGAAGTAGCTTCCCTGTCCTCACGCGCGATGCGTCACAGATCCCGCCACCTGCCTCCCGACACGGAAGCAGAGTAGGCGCCTACCGTTTTGGGCAGGCAGGTGCCTACTTTGCATTGATGGCGAACCTATGGCCGCGTGCCCACAGAAAGGGACCGGCGTGCCATAGGTTTGCCATCACTGCCTCAGGTTGTCTTCTTTTAAAAAAATACGTACATGTGAAAGGTTATTCAGGGATTCCTGACAGATATCAGTGTTACAATGTAAATTTTTTAAAAAATGGTTTGGAAATAGCAAAGTGCCAAAGTTATTGCCCTGTAACTTTCCAAAAAAAGCTAAGAACATGTTAACATTGGGTATTTCTAAACTCAGGACAAAATTTAGAAACTATTTAGCATGGGTGTTGTTTGGCGGTTGTTGATGCATAACAGATGTTGGGGGTCAAAGTTAGAAAAAGTGTGTTTTTTAAAAACATTTCATCATATTTTATAATTTTTTTATAGTAAATTATATGATATAATGAAAATAATGGTATCTTTAGAAAGACCATTTAATGGTGAGAAAAACGATATATAATATGTGTGGGTACAGTAAATGAGTACGAGGAAAATGACAGCTAAACACAAACTGTTAAATGTTGGAAATGCAAAAACAGCCCTGGTCCCAAATGGTAAGAAAATTGAAAAGCGGTCTGGTCACTAACGGGTTATTGCAGTTTATCAATAACAGCAATAATTAAAATTGCAGGGTTAAAATGACAGAAGCACAGCACCCAGACTACTTCAATGAGCCGTAGTGCTTTAACCCCTTAAGGACCAAACTTCTGGAATAAAAGGGAATGACATGTCACACATGTCATGTGTCCTTAAGGGGTTAAAGGGACATTATAGTCACCAGAACAACCACAGTTTAATATAGTTCTGGTGAGTATATGTATGTCCTTGCAAGCTTTTTAATGTAAATTCAGAGAAAAAGAAGTGTATACATTACTGCCTAGGAACACCTCTAGCGGCAGTCACTCAGATTGACATTCAGCATCAGCATGGAGGCACTGAAACAGGAGTTCAAGGCTGACAAACATCAATTCCGGGCTGAGGAGAGAACTTGGCCTTGCTGTTGAACAGTGAGTTTATGTTTTCTCAATATACAATAAGCATTTCTATCACTGAATGTGGGTAAATGCAACCTGGAATGAATAGAGTATCCCACAGAATCATATATGTACGTATGGGGAAAAAAAACGTACTATTGAGAAAGAGTCACAAGGCTACTCCAATACCTAAGTAGTAAATACAATGTAATACTAGTGGGTATACCAATGATAGTACTTAACTTAAAATCATACAGGCTTTATTGAACAAGCCTATTTACAGTCAGGTCCATAAATATTGGGACATCAACACAATTCTAATCTTTTTGGCTCTATACACCACCACAATGGATTTGAAATGAAATGAACAAGATGTGCTTTAACTGCAGACTTTCAGCTTTAATTTGAGGGTATTAACATCCAAATCAGGTGAACGGTGTAAGAATTACAACAGCTTGTATATGTGCCTCCCACTTTTTAAGGGACCAAAAGTAATGGGACAGATTAATGGAATTTATTTATTTCCATTGAACTGAAGTTTATTTTTTTACCCCCCTATACCTATTATATCATCTGTTTATTCATCCTGAACACATTATCTAGGTGATTTGTGCTGAACACCTTATTTTTCAGCCCTTTATGGTTCTTCTTTTGTGTTAAGTCAATATTTAGATGAATGTAGCATAGCGCTGGTTCTCCTGACCAGGACTTGCCTCCGCTGGATCCATAGTAACTGGAACTCAGGAACAAGATGCTAAAATGTGAATAGCTCTCCTCTTCAGTAATTGGATTACACACAGTTCTGGGAGTACAACTGGTTTTATTCAGCACAAACTTACCTTTTATGCACAGACGCTCAGCATGGAGTCTCCATTCAAAACAACACAACCTCCTCCCAGGCGTCCCTGTGTCTGGGACATAATTGAGTCAAAACTTAGTAACTCAATTATCTCTCAGTTACAGGGAACTACATGACAAATACATAAAACAACCCCAAAAACAGTCATAATCCACAGGAACTCCACAAATCTTATTTCCCCGAATAGTCCGGATCTCAGCGCTCAAGATGTCCAAATAGCGCATAGATCCATTCGGTAGAATGGAATTGACATTCGGGTAAAGTTCTGACCGACCGGTCGGCCACAAGGTGATAGTCCCAAACAGTTCCAGAGAAAAGGGGGCAACTGTCTGTCCACTTTTGGGATTTCCTGTGCGAACACTGACGAATGCTCCCCCTGGCTTCTATGGAGAAAATGCTCCCCCCAGTCGGTAATTCCTGTGACGGAGCTCCAGTACTCCGACAGAATACCTCCAAGTCTGCTTCCTCGTAGCTATCAGGGACCCTGAAGCACTTCAGACCCAGTCGCCAAGGCTTGACTTGGATCACTGAGTGCCTTTTGCACCCTGTACCAAACTCCAGACGACACTTGGTGAAGGTAAAACAACAACTAACTTTTATACCCATAACACACGTCTTTTAAGGCTCATTGACATACAAAAGGGTGTATAGAGTACTATAGTACAAGGAAGGGTGGGGTCAGACAATAGCAAGGGCTGATGGGAGATTGAGGAGAGACAGGGCAGCTAGTTTAAACTGGTCTGGCAGTGTCCCTGGGATAACGCCCTGCTGGGGAAACAATTGGACAGGAAAAAAGGGGAGGGAGAGAGGCACAGGCAAGCAATACCTTCAACATACTCTGCACCAATAATAGGCACATTGTGACCAAAACACAAGAGGAATCTGGGGACCCACACAGTGTCCGTCTTCCATCACGTAGCCAAAAAGAGTTCCAGGTGTTCGACGACCAAGTACCGCTGCCTGTGTTCGGGAGACAAAATGCCTGCTATTCACTGGAGCATGTGCGTTCGATTATACAAATGCCTTTCAGGGAAAGCACTCAAGTTAATTTCTTGTTTGTGGTTAACAGCCATTAGTGTCGATGTTCGCGGAGATATAAAACAAAGGGGGTATGGACAACCGAACAAAAAGGGAATGAGTCTGCTACAGTGACAACTCACAAAAAGCTGGGCAATATATTTTCTACTGGTATATAAGTTTTGGCTATCTTATTATTCTATTTTTAACAATGACAAGAAATGTTAAGTTTTAAAGGGTACCAGTGATTTAGTTATAATATATATATATATATATATTTTTTTTTTTTATATCAGTGACTTATATTTATTTTCACTTTTTTGGCTTATTTAGTACTCTTTTTTTTTATGATGCCAATACATTTTTAAAAGTATCTGTAAGAGTTATATTTCTGAATTTCCAGTCTGCCCGGTTCTTACTATCCCTATGCTGCATACTCCAGTTTTTTCTAGTGCTTTCGTTTTAGTTAAAGGGACACTATAGTCACCAGAACAACTACAGCTTATTGTATTTGTTCTGGTGAGTATAATCTCACTGCAGCCTTGAACAAAAGTAAGATTTTACTATATTTAGAGGGCATTTAGAGTGTTTAAGGGAATCTAGATTTTTTTTTCTGTTTAGCTTTGGAACCTAATTGAGGGATCTAATACAATGCTTAGAAACCCCAAATATTAGAATGAAAATCTCATACTCTTACCTGGTTATAATCTCAAATGCGAACTGTTACATAATATATGGATGATCCTGACAGAATTTAAAGCTCAATTTCCACCATTGAATGACAGCAGTAAAGATGAACAATTCAATCAACGGTATACAATGAAAAAAATAACATGATGTGCACATAATTCTATCACTCAATTTAATATGTCCATTTATTGGAGCTTCCAAATAAGCATCATGTCCTATTATAAACGCAGGACTAACTGGAACTGTATACCACAGTCCTACATTTTGAACAATATAAATTACATTTGAAGTTAACAGTCATACCATAGTAAACAATCTTTTTAAGAGGGAGATTAAAGGAATTGTAATGCCTTGTGACTATTAAATTCTACATTATATAGGGATAACATTAAAAGCAATGCAACTTGTAAAAGTCCTGTAAGCCTAACCCATTTAATCTGCATTATAGCTTCCACTTAACACATATGTAAAAGTACTGTCAGTTAAGAAGTCAATGAGTAGACAAAACCTGCTCACTGCAGGCTACAAGTTGGGATCTCCACAACCCCCTTGGAAGTGGGGGTCCCTGAAGCTCTGGAGGGCTGTTAGTACTGCTTAAAGGACCACTATAGGCACCCAGACCACTTCAGCTTAATTAAGTGGTCTGGGTTCCAGGTCCATCTAGAATTAACCCTTTCTGCTGTAAACATAGCAGTTTCATACGATACCGTCCGATGCTCCTATTTCCCAAGTCTCGGCTGAATGTTCAAAAGCCAGATGACAGGTAAAAATGCTGGGGAAATGCTCAAAAGGCGGACCGCTGCTGTTACAGAGATAAAACAATGAATGACCACTTGCACATCAACGCGTTTCTCCCGTCTTCACGGGCTTTCTCAAGATAGTGTGGCGGCCATTCACATCCCTCTTTTATGTTATTCCGTTAATCGTCCATAAAAAAGCCGAATCAACTAATAGTTATATTAAGATATTATCAAAATGTAAAGCTGCAACAATGTTGCGATTAGAGAAAGAGATCGTTCTTCATATTACATATATGTACATACAAAGTATCCGAATACAGTATATATATGGAAACTAAAAAAATATAAAAAAATACAATAAAAAATACAAATACACATAAATACATAGCACATGCCTTGAAAGAAGCTTCAGCTCAATATCATAATAACGATGTACCTGTATTCCTATTTATAAATCATAGTTCCCAATACTATAATCCATTTGAGTTCGTGCAGGCTAACAACATAACAAAAAATATATATTTAAAATCAGCACAAAACACATCAGCTCTTATTAGCTAAAGATATTCCTTACATAAAATTAGTGCTAGTGTCAATAAATAATGGTACCAATTATTGAATTGCCATTAATTGTCAAATTACCAGTTGATATATAAGTAACTATAATAGTGCTGGTGTGAACATATGTTTGCCAGCCTCTTGCTAAAAAGGAAAAGAATAAGAAAAAAAGCAAAACAAGCTAACTTTTTTCTATCTGTATCAGTTTTGAACAGACAAGTTTCTAAATATGTTAAAAAGCCATTCCACACTAAATGCTTCAATTAAGAAAGACAATCCAAATTCTAAATATGACTAAATGAATAATGATTTAAATATAAAATCCATAAAAAATAATAATGCTAAATATTAAGAGATGTATCAAGTAATCTCTTTCATCTTATAATAAAAAATGCTCGCATTACAAGCATATAATAAATTTCCAATATTTTCTTTGCGCATCCATATTCTACTAAACAATACCCGAAAGTTCAAACTCTACATTCAAGCCTTGAGGCACTAGAGTTTTCAATTTAAAAATCCAAGACATCTCTTGGTAGGTTAGCTTCTTAGCAAGTTCTCCCCCCACCCCCCCTTCCCAGGGAATATTAACCCTTTCTATCCCACAAAACTGTAGGCTTGACGGATTACTTGCATGGTACTCAAGGTAATGTTTTTCATACTTTCCTTTAATATTATAGACATGTTCATTCAGTCTTACTTTCAACATTCTCTTAGTTTGCCCAACATACTATTTGCCACAAGGGCAACTAATTAAGTATATAACTTGTTTAGTATGGCAAGTTATACATTCTTTAATATCAAACTTTTGTTTCGTAGCAAATGATTGAAAGTTGCTTACTTTCCCACACAGAGGGCCAGTAATTTTGCAGATACTACAGTTCCCACATTTAAAGAAACCTGTTTTGGAATTTAAGAAATTGGTTTCTGGCTTTGGTTGTCTGAAACTGTGCACTAGTTTATTCTTAATAGTCGGTGCACCCCTAAAAATTACGCTCGGTTTAGTGTGTATCAATTGGGCCAAGACAGGATCTTCCCTTAGCAAATGCCAATGTTTGTGCACACTCTTCTTTAAAAATTGGGATTGGCTGCTATAATTGAAAACAATAGGACAAGTAAGAGGATCTAGTGTTTTACGTTCTTTCTTAGATGGATTAAGAAGTACGCCTCTATCTAGGGAATTAACCCTTTTTAGTGCGTTTTCCAAAAGAAGTGGTTCATACTCCTTTTCTATAAATTGGGTCTTGATTCTCTCTAATTGTTGTTGGCATACTTGTGGATCTGTGCAATTCTTTCTTATTTGTTGGAATTGACCGTATGGAACATTATTGAGCAGTTATGCTGTTAGCCTGCACGAACTCAAGTGGATTATAGTATTGGGAACTATGATTTATAAATAGGAATACAGATACATAGTTATTATATTGAGCTGAAGCTTCTTTTAAGGCATGTGCTATGAATTTATGTGTGTATTTGTATTTTTTGTTGTATTGTTTTTAATATATTTTCTATTTATATATACTGTATTTGGATACTTTGTATGTACATATATGTAATATGAAGAACGATCCCATCTTTCTCTAATAGCAACATTGTTGCAGCTTTACATTTTGCTAATATCTTAAAATAACTACTTAGTTGATTCGGCTTTTTTATGGATGATTAACGAAATAACATAAAAGAGTGGTGTGAATGGCCGCGAAGCCCGCGAAGACGGGTGAAACGCGTTGATGTGCAAGCGGCCATACATTGTTTTATCTCTGTAACAGCAGCGGTCCGTCTTTTGAGCATTTCCCCAGCATTTTTACCTGTTATATGGCTTTTGAAGGTTCAGCCGAGACTTGGGAAATAGGAGCATTGGACGGTATCGTTACTTGCTATTACAAAGTAATATTTATTCTGAAGTTGGGACACTTATGATTGTGGCACATGCCATTGACTTTTTACTCTTCTATATATTTTTTATAAGATCAATCTACAAATTAGATAGTATCAATTGATTGATTTTTATTGTAATAATTGATGCATATACAGTCTTGGTGATTCCACATAGTAGAAGTAGACTTGCCAAAATGCTAATTGGTCTAACGTAGTGCTGGCACTTACCTTTTTCTATTGAATATTCGTTTTGGGTTTATGAGAGAATCCTCTATGTGCTTCAGCTGCTCAATATAGGCTAAAAGCCATTTTGTATTATTTATTTTTAATATCTATACTTTAGTTTGCATTCTCTAATTTTAAAACAAAATAAAGTATACAAAGCCCGCTTAATGTAGGCAACAACCTGGGATCCCCTGCACCGCCTATATCTTCGATCTGATGAGCTGCTGTTGGCTATTCATTAGGAACTGTATATCCCATAATGTTCTGCTAGGCTTCAGCTGCCTGAGCATCAAGGGAAATGTAGTCTACAAACATGTGCAGTGATATCCTGTTTACTAGGGGGTAATATGGAATATGCGGAATGTAGAGGGTAGGCACCTGCAATACCCAACTGATCCAACTTTGGCATGCATGATATTGTGACAGAAGAGGCTGATATGGAGCATGCCAGTGATCTAATCAATGGAATGGTGAAACACAATGGTTAATAACCTCCATCAGTTATTATATGAGTCTTGGGGACCTATACTATATTTTAAAATGTTTTTTTTTTTTTTATTGTGCCCACTGGCTGCCTTATTTAGCCTATTTAAAAGAGAAATTTACATTTAGCAATACACCACACAGCAGGCTTTTTAGACCACAATTGGTGACATTTTTCTTTCTTTCTTCTTGGACAGTCACTTTAATACACCCTGTTCCAAATTATTATGCAAATGATATTTTTCTCATTTACCTAAATAATTGATGTAAATAACAGACAGCATAATTCTTATGTTATCAACTATTAAGAGTACAATTCAAATTTTATTGAATAAACCTCCTAATGATAACAGTATTTTTTTAAACATAAAAAACTTGCACTGTTCCAAATTATTACGCACAGTAAGTTTCAAAACACTTGTAAAGAACTGAAAATTGTCATTTATTCTGGCTCTGCTTTTGTGGGTGATATTATATACATTATTGCATAATATATGTAGAGACGCTATGTTTGTTTTTTCTGTGTTCTTGTTATATAGATATAAGCATTTATCGATCTCTACAGCTCCACCTTATGTATGTATAATTTGTCATTTATTTTACACACATTCTTTTTTGTCCTTACTGTTTTTCTCCTTTTTGTTATATTTTTCTTTTTAGACATAGGCAGGTAGGTTTACAGGTACCTTTCCCAGTTTGAAATACCACTCAAAATTACACTTAAGTCTCTACAGGCAACGTAAGATAAAAAAAAAAAAGATCATTTATCTATTTTGAAACACTGAGTATTTCATATTATTAATTTTAGCACTGCTAATGCAGTAAGAATTACAAAATATTGCAACAGATGACATGCTTCTAAAAAGTTTAAATCATAATAATTAAGTCAACTAATTAGATCTCTCTCTTTTTGCAATAACCAACCTTTGTTGGTGGAAAATGTATTATCATCTTAAAGGGTTACCCCAACCCTGTTGTTTTAAATTTGGGGGGGAGGGGGAAGGAGGGAGGATATACAGGAAGGTATGTTCTATATGAAATACCTATTGGACTAATGAGGTCCCCTACATTTTTCAGTAAAAGTTTTTTTTTTTTTTTTTATCACCTGGAATCCAGCGCTGGGCAAAGTTCCGCTGCCTTTCACATTTACATCTGATGTAAGCAAGGGCCTCAGCGTTCCAATTAACGGTTCTCATAGAGGGGATACTGGGAGGGAAATGTAATAAAAATCAATACAAACCCCTCCAAAAAACTATTTTGAGAGTATAGAGAAGTCGGAGGGCTCAACTCAATGAAGTAGAAAGGGAGGGGCAAAAAACATTTCCAGGTCTGCAAAGGAGAATCTCAATATGTTCGTTGCCAGGGTACAGTGCGTATGGTCAGATGTATTTTTGCACAGAATTGTCATTTGGCAGCCCTGCATAGCGTTCCAGGCTGCCAAAGTCACGTGTGTCAGGGTTGTAACTAGCAACCACAAAAGTGAAGACTACTCTATTTGTGCATCATTCCAAGCATATACACAGCACATACACATTCCAACCACCATGACCACTTCAAATCACTCAAGTGGTCATGGTGGTCGGAGTAACCCTATAAGCACTGGTCATGGGTTGCTTAGCAACCAAAATATACAATTACCAGGAGTGAATAAGCAAAGGTTACAATTTCATTATATATATGTGCATTAGATAAAGCATGGGATAATGTTTTACTCCATGTGGGAATCCCTACATGGTTGAGTAAGTTAAATATTCACTATTTAACTTGGCTTCACGCAACTTGCTCTGCAACCTCGGCAAATACTTTGTAAGATAAGATTTTTGGATTTGGATAAGATTTTCAAAATGATTTAATATTTTTGGATAAACTTTTAAAGTTATTTAACATTCTGAAAAATACTTTTTAGTTTTGTACGATATATATTTTTAAAAGTGTAATATTTTGAAAATAAAAATAATTTTAAAACTTTACCCAAAAATACTATATTGAGGCCTATGTTAGGATTAAAACATCGATGTAGATGTGAATTGTTAAAGGGTCAGTCTAAGCCAGGGGTGGCCAGTATGTTGATTGCGATCTACCAGTCGATCGCAAAGGCGATGCTTGTAGATCGCAGTTGGCGCTTTACTCTCAAATGGGACTGGCAGCACTACATGATCCTGGAGGAGCGTGAAGGCACTTAGAGGTGCGCCACGATGATGTCGACGTGCTCCCCCTTCCTCCAGTGATCACTGGCAGCAGAAGGAATCCTGGGTGTGGGCGGCGCCAGGGCTTTAAGGCCGAAGCCAGAAGCAGGGAGCAGCAAGCAGACCTTCATTTGTAAGTGGAGTGTTTGCTTGCTAATATCTATATTTTATTTTATGGCTACTACTGCAAGGGGGGTTTAGCAAAGGGCTGACAAGGGGTTAAGTAGAGGGATGACATAAGATTTGTAAAGGGGGCGGGGGTTTTGTAGAGGGGGAAGAGGTTTCATAAAGGGGTGACAAAGGGTTAAGTAAAGAGGACATAAGTTTAGTAAAGCAGGGCAGGGGTTTTGTAGAGGGAGTCAGGAGTTTAGTAAAGAGGTGACAGGTTTTTGTTGAGGGGGCATTGTTTTTGTTGAGGGGGCAGGGGTTTTGTAGAGGGGGAAGGGATTTTGTAAAGGAGTGACAAGGGATTGTGTAAAGGGGTGACAAGGGGTAAAGTAGAGGGAGGACATACGTTTAGTAAAGGGGGCAGGGGTTTTGTAAAGGGGTGACAGGTTTAGTAAAGAGGTGACAGGGTTTTTGTAGAGGGGGCAGGTGTTTTGTAGTGGGGGCAGGGACTTAGTAAAGGGGTGACAGTAGTTTAGTGGAGGGGTAACAAGGGTTTTGTAGAGGGGGCGCAAGGGTTTTGTAGAGGGGGCAGGGATTTAGTACAGGGGTGACAGTGGTTTAGTAAAGGGATAACAAGGGGTTTTGTAGAGGGGCAGGGGTTTAGTAAAGGGGTAACAAGGGATTTTGTAGAGGGGCAGGGGTTTAGTAAAGGGGTAACAAGGGGTTTTGTAGAGGGGGCAGGGGTTTAGTAAAGGGGTAACAAGGGGTTTTGTAGAGGGGGCAGGGGTTTAGTAAAGGGGTAACAAGGGGTTTTGTAGAGGGGGGGCAGGGATTTAGTAAAGGAGTGACAGTGGTTTAGTAAAGGGGGTAACACTATGCAAAAAAATACTACAATGAGCTGTATTGGTTGAAGTGTGTGTGGTTCTTCTAATTATTTATTAATGGCTAATTGCAATTAACATGTGGCATCGATAATTTAATCACCAGCAATTGTCAGTTTGTCTTTTATGTCTGACATAGTCAGATGAAAAGCAGATTAGAAAAGCTTTAAAAGCACACAGGGAAGAGAAAATAGCCCAGTCAGTTAAAAAGAGGGATACCTTTTTTGTTTTTAAAAATACATTTTTAGTTACATAACTGAGAAGAGGAAAATAAAGCAAGGATTAGTTAGACTAAAAACAAGAAAAGGAAGTTAGAAGAGGATAAAGTTCTAGCTGACTTCCTCAAATAATATTTTTGTTCAGTATTACAGACATAAATGAAGGAAAGGGACCTCAGTTAGGAAAAAAGATCGCCATTTGTTACATGTGAGTTCTCAGTGGAAGAGATTTGATTTCAGCGGTCTAAAATAAAGACAAATAAGTCTATGGGGCCTGATGGGTTACACTCAAGGTTATTACCATTAACAGATTTATAATCCAATCATTGTTAACTGGAGTAGTCCCAGAAGATTGGAAATGAACTAATGTGCCAATTCACAAGAAAGGTAGTAGGGAGGAGTCAGGCAACTATAAGCCAGGAAGCCTTACTTCAGTAGTATTTAATTGTTGAACATCTAAAATCATGTGGATTTCAAGATCTGAGACATGAGTTTACTTCCGGAAGATCCGGGAGACCGCAGCCGTGTGGAACCCGCGCTCGTGAACTGAACCAACCCATAGACTACTCCAAACTAAAGAGGTACAAGTTGCAGGAGTTGCTGGAGTCTAGAGGGGAATCAGCTGGCAACCGATCCAAGGCAGATTTGATCACTGCCCTCATGGAGGACGATCTACTAAGCGGCGTAGCCGCTATACAGCAGCCTGGCATACTATGGGGAGAAGCCCTCTGCATAAATCATGACTCGGATCTTCGAAGAGGCACAGGCATATATCCTGGCCCAGAGAGCTTGGACGAACACCATGCCCATCCAGGAAGGAAAATGGCCCTGGGTGGCCCGGCCACCCCAGTACACAAGCCCAAAATGCCCTACTAAGCCTTCAAGCAGTTTGCGGAAGCTGAAGTAGGCATAGACAACTTTTTGCAGGACTTTGAGAGCATTTGCCTGCTACATGACATTGCCCAAGCAGATTGGGTCCTCATCCTGGCCAAGAAACTAACGGGGAAAGCTGCGGACGGTTACAGGGCCATGCCCGAGGAGGACCTGCAGGACTATGCCGCTGTGAAGCAGTTCCTGTTGGCTAGGTATGCCATCACCCTGGAGGCATACCACCAAAAATTCCAGGAATTGTAGAAGGGGTTCCAGGATTCGCATGCCAAATGGGCTTGCCGCCTGAGCAAGGCAGCCCAAAGCTGGCTGCCGTCCCAACAGGCAAAGACACTGGAGATCATCTTCTAGCTGTTATAACATTTCTATAACGGACTGCACTCCGAGATACAAGACTGGCCCAGAAGGCCAATGAATATACTGATACGCAGCGGCCCCAACGGCTGACAACCCCTCCAACCCACGTGCGCCTGGCACCCCAGTTTACTTCGCTCCCAGCCTCCCACTCCTGAGGGTCCCTAGCTTCCGCACCCACCTCGATGACACCCAACCGGGCAACCATTCAATGGCATCATTGTTCCCAGTGGGGCAACTACAAGAGTAGTTAGGTCCCCCCCCAATTTGTATTTAGGGCCCCCACCCACCGCTCAGGGGTGGGGGCCAGGGGGAGGACATTAGGTTCCCCCCCCCTTATTCTTGTTTAGGGCCCCCACCCACCGCTCAGGGGTGGGGGCCAGGAGGAGGACATTAGGTCCCCCCTTATTCTAGTTTAGGGCCCCCACCCACCGCTCAGGGGTGGGGGCCAGGGGGAGGACATTAGGTCCCCCCTTATTCTAGTTTAGGGCCCCCACCCACCGCTCAGGGTGAACTGCTTCCCACCCCATTTGGTTCCCAAATGGGGACCTCCCCCAGTGCCCATTGGAATGTTCACACCAATCAATTAGAACGTTAACAACTCGCAACATAAGTGTGAATCCGCAAGGGAAGTAATTAATGGGCGCTTCCCTGGGCGGCCACCGTTCGTACAACTTCCCTTGCCCGGTTTCAATCAGGGACCACACAAACGGATGCTCCATGGGATTGTGTGGGCATCTTTTGGGGACAATGGCTGGTTTGGCGGGCTTTCTGAAACTCGGAGTCAAGGAGGCGGGAAGCTTTCCAGCGCGGTGACTTCCAGGTACAGAGGTTCTTGGGAACAAGATGCCCCTGTCATCGGAAGTGGGAAACCTGTGCTTGTGTGGCGGGAATAGGGTACAAAGGGACTGGGACTCCAGTGTCAAGCTGAAGACACCGGGGATGGGGAGGACCCTGTGAGGGGACACTGGGATTGTGTGGTATACACGCCTCGCATGGGTTTTCATATAAATGTGTGGCCAATAAAGTGTTGTTGTACCTCCAGGACTAGGTGTTGTCCAGTAACTGGGGGGAAAAGGGTTTCTTTGGCCTATAAGAGGTTTCTGACCGGCTGGAGGAAGGAGACTAGCGGACGTAACCAGTCGGGTTGCCCGGAGTCCGCTACAGGGATATGACAGAAACATTTAAATAAAGGAAGAGACTATATTTAGAAGTAAAACTACAAAAGAAGAAGAGAAGAACAACTACCACAACAAGAGGACATAATATTAAATTAGAGGGGCAAAGGTTTACAAATAATGTGAGGAAGTATTACTTTACTGAGAAGCTATTGGATGCGTGCAATAGCCTTCCAGCTGAAGTGATAGAGGTTAACACAGTGAAGGAGTTTAAAGGGACACTCCAGGCACCCAGACCACTTCTGCCCATTGGAGTGGTCTGGGTGCCAACTCCCACTACCCTTAACCCTGCAAGTGTAAACTGCAATAAATACCTTGCAGGGTTAACTCCACCTCTAGTGGCTGTCTATTAGACAGCCACTAGAGGGCACTTCCTTGTCCATAGCACAGAAAACCTGTGCTAGAGCATCGCTGGACGTCCTCACGCTGTGTGAGGACCTCCAGCGTCGCTCAATTCCCCATAGGAAAGCATTGAAAATAATTTTCAATTATTTTCTATGGAAAGCTCTAAAGCGCATGCGCGGCAGCATTAGATCTCCACGGCCGGTGGGTGGGATCAGTCTCACCCACTGGCCGACGTAATGACTGGGAGAAGCGGCGTCGACCCGAAACCACCGCCAAGAGACATCGGCGGGGGTCTCAGGTAAGTGACTGAAGGGGTTTTCACCCCTTCAGCAACCGGTGATTGTGAGGGAGAGGGGACCTGCAGTGCCAGGAAAACAGATTGTTTTCCTGGCACTGGAGAGTCCCTTTAAGCATGCGTGGGATAGTCATAGTGCTTAGATGTAAGATAAAGCAAGGGACCAAAGTATTAGAAAATTTGGCAGACTAGATGGGCTGAATGGTTTTTATCTGCTGTCACATTCTATATTTCTATAATGTTGCATGCTTTTTTTTTTCCCTGCCACACACAACTTATTTTTGCTGTGTGTTTCATAAACCTGACATATGGGGCATACAGTAGCTCACAAATTTAAATTACTTCAAAAATCAAAACCATTCGCAAAAGGCAACACGTAATTATCTCAAACTGTATATTATGAGGTTTACAAAGCAGATATTTCTTTCTGCATATTCATATGCACACTGCATTTTTGTTGTGTGTATCATAAACCTCAGCTATGCTATTACAGGGGGATAAAAAAAAAAAAAGAATCAGCTACTGATACCGGAGAAACTGACGGAAGCAAAGCACAGAGGGATGGACACAGGTTTCTTCAGGAAGGAAGAGATTCTTTATTGGATCACCGATCGGGACTCAGAGGGACTAATGTCACCAAAAATACAGCAAGTTCTGAGCCCTGAACAATAGTGCAGGCTCCCTATATAGGCACATAACTCCTCCCATATTAAGCTCCACCCGCACATTCTCTTGACCAATCATTACAAATAAGAATTAACTTCCTGCTTGACCGCATGGCTTGTCCAGCACAATGGAGGAGGGGAATACTACATCCTGTATTCTTGCACATGCTCCGTACACTACTGATCGTATCTTGCCTCGTGCAACCAACTGATCGATACGTCAGCATATGCACGTACACATGCCACGTGGTAATCTCGGCCTACTAAATTTATTTTTACCGAGATTCCACCACATTCCCCCCTTTGATGCCTCTTGATATTTTACAATTACTTGAGGCATCACTTAACCTTGGTTTGCATACACCACAAGTTACCTTTGAACCAGACCAGACTTATCCTATGATGTGAATCTTCAACACTCGTCTTCCTGCATTGGTTCTCCCTGATCTAGAGCCTTATATTTATAAATTGCCATTATCTGTGCAGCAGCCTTCCTCTCTGCTATATTTTCTATCAGGCTTTGCACAGACCTAACTACTAAGGGTATAAGACACGGCAGGAGTAGACACAACATTAAAATCAGTAGGACTCCACCTACCACTGCCTTAAGCCCTCCAAACCACTCATACCAGCTACCAAACCAACTACTTGGATTGTACCCTTTCCATACCTGAGTAGGCACATGCGCTAGTTTAACCATATGGCTAGTAAGCTCAGCTATTGCTTGCCCTTCGTCATCTATTTGAAGACAGCAATTGCTCAGGTTAAACTTCCCACATACACCTCCCTCTACTGCCAAAAGATAATCCAAGGCTAATCTATTTTGGTAAACTGCTGTCCTCATCCTGGTATTATGCTTCGCTAGAAGATTGAGCGCTTGTGATGTCTCGTTAGTAATGATCTCAACCACCGCCTGTAACCTTATAATGCGGTTGAGCATATAAATAGGGGTTCTATAACCAAAGGTACCATCCTCTGCCCACGTGGCTGGCCCATAATAATCTATAATACGCTGGGGAGGCCATTCATTATCTTCCCAGGCACCTATCTCTATGGGTCCCCTTTTCTTCCTATGATTCACATCATACACTTTAACACCTAAAGTCTCACCTGTTTCAATAGGCAACAAGAAGAAGGATGGTTTTAACATACCCAACACACATGCCCCTTCCCAGTCCTGTGGTAACTCCGAATAGGCCTTCTTACCACAGATCCAGTACAAATTCGCTGGGGCTCTCCAGTTAGATGTGATGGATAGATCAAACCATACGTCCTTTAAATTGGCATATCTTGCAAACGGGTTAGATGGTTCTGAGACATTTGAAGCCGACCACCAAGTTGTATTCTTTGTATCATCATCATAAGCTTTTTGCCCTAGACAAGTTAATTCTCCTACAGAAGTATTATACATCATTCCTTTCCTCGCTATGCAAACATAACCTATGATGGAGGTCTTCAATCTCCACTCAGATTTACCTCTAACACTCATATGATAGTCGGCTTGTGTAGATATTAATTGGTCAACTGCCTCAGAACCGGACATTACCTCCTTTGCTTCCCAAGGCCATTGGTCTCCCATGTTAGTACCTCCACACACATAGCAGTTGGTAACATTAAGACTACCGGCAATACTCTCGGCTAAATCAATGAACAAGTTTTTAGCATTATGGGGGATCTTATTATCTATGCTCATCTCTTCATAAAAGGAATGGTATACTTGATGAGTTTGGGAGGTTACTGTATCAGTCTCTATCCCTATAAACAATATTGTCCCAGGGTCTAAACCCGTCCCATATATTTGAAACCCAAATAAATTACCATATTTATCTAAGAACTTGTCAGGGTTATTTATAAGTATATGGATTGGATTGCATTCCATAGACTTACAATATGGATTAGTAGGCAACTTAGTCACAATCATGTCCTTGTCTGCTGTCTGTCCCCAAGTCGCCCACCCCACACAAGACCAATATGGGCAGAAGTTATAATCTCTATTTGGGCATCTTGGACTTACATATTTATTTTTACTACTGGGACAAATATATTTATCGTTAGACCCATACGTCCTCTCCCATCTAAGATCCCCACATACATTCCACGGCTTTCTACCACTTGATATTGCTTTACACGCATCAAATAGCAGAGCACCTGAAGAATATACGGATTTTAATACCGTCTTATTAATTAGGGTCCCCTGAGAATCTCCATTTCTGAGAGTCAACCAAATTGTACGGGGTTGATACTCAGGACTGAAGCACTTAGGTTCTCCTACTCCTAAATGACACACACTATATTCTATATTTAAGTATCTACATCTTGATACATCTCCTTTACACTCATATTGCGAATGCCAAATTAGGGTCTGGGATATATGGTTACCTGTTCTTGTAGTCTTAATGCATACCTCACAGCTAGGAGTGTTGGTACCTCTACCTTCCTGAATATAAAAATACACATAAATAAACATTATTAAAAATACATCTTTCGTCGTCATCCTCAGTCTTCGTCCGTGTGAAGGCACCTCAGCTTCCAGGATGTAAGGACTGCAGGGAATGGAGTTCTGCTCGTCTTCACAGGGGTCCCCTCAAGACTTTCCCTGACTTATACACTCGTTGGTGAGTGGACAGGCTTTATTATGGCCTTCTCACTCACTTACCAAGTCTCTGAAACAATAAAATTTGTAATCTACAAGGTTCCTCGTCACTCCGACTGAGTCGTGCGTTTTAACCGGATCTTGCAGGGATTCTCTGGATTTGCTGTAACTTGCCAGGAATCGGCTGCTGCTGGTTTAACCCTGGAGTGATGTATCCACGGAGCCACTTCGGCTA